CTTCATTACGACCCACCCAGCTGCCTCTCGCCTGTTTGCATATGAAACAAGACAAGAAGCCTGACCCCCAGAGCAATCACTGCCTCTGATCTTCCACTCAGCCCTGGACCAGGAGTGCGTCAGGTCCCCCGAAACTGTTGGGTTCCCGAGCAAGCGGAAAGCGAGGTCTCTCGCGACACTGTGTACAGGTACAGAAAGGAAACACAAAGTGCTTTTGTGCAAGATGGTGCCCTACGTGGCGCATTTGCTGAGTTCTCTCTCCCTCCCTCCCCCTCTTGCTTGCTTGGTTTGCCGGGGAACCCTGGCCCGAGGGCCTGCCCCCACAACAGTCCGCACGTCTCAAGGTCTGCACGGCCCCTTTCGGGGTTGAGAGAAGCACTCGTTCCCCCCGACTGAACTTGTTAACCCCCGTCCCCCGAAAACACACCTGCTAAACTGCTAAACCATGACCATGGGGAACCTGCAAGTTCCAGTCGAGTCATCCGAGGCCTCTCTAGCGGCTCTAGCGGCAACTATGCGAAAGTGGCCCAAGGCATGGACATCGTAAGACACAACAAACCAAAGCATGCAAATACCTACCCTTCCGTCCCCCTTTCGCGTCCTGGGTGAGCTCCACTCCCCGGGTTTGGGCATGAGCTTGCGACTGCACCACTAACAGCGACCATAAATCACCCCGTGACAGCTAGCAATCTTACTTCGTCGCACAGCTGTGCCCCCATGGTTCTACTGCGGGCCCTGTACTCCCGAGCAGTGAACTATGCTTTTTAACCCCACCTAACCTGCCTCCCCACCTTATCCCGAACTGAACCTTGCGCGACACTGCCTTTCACCTTCCCACCCAGCCCCCGAAGCGTGTGTGTGAGTTGGTGTCAGAGTGGTTGGCAAAACGAAAAAAGCTCAGACGGCAGCCCCCCCTCTCTCTCAGTGCCTGTCTCTCTGCTGTTGCATCCAAAGTGCTGCTAAGTTGAGGGGCCGATTGCTGATCCACCCTTCCATGCCACTTGCATGCATACTCGAGTTCAGCCTGGAAAGCATTTGAGGCCTGAGGCATCTCACAAAGCCCGCCACAACGCACAAAACGATCCCACGTGCTGTGAAGCATTTTATGGCTCGGTGCAAGAAAGCAGCTCGAATGGAACGAACGAACACACACACACACACACACTTGAACACCCAGGCTTCCCTGGTAGACTGGTCTTCAGTGGTCTGCTTCACTCAGCAATGAGTTCAAAACTCAGCTGAGACTTCAAAAGGATAAAATGTTGCCGGAGGTCTTCAATAGGCTCATGATTTCCTTGCTGGTCTATACTAACGAAAAAAGCCAAGCAGCACATTGAACCTGTTACCTGAACTTGTGCAAAAATGCGCAGGTACGTTTTGACAAGAGGACAGGCAGATGAGTGCGCGGTCTTCGTTGGCCAGTGCACGCACTCATCTTACCTGCCTCTCCGCTGGCCCCCTGCACTCGAGACTTTCTTTGTCTGTAACTGGAAACCCGTTGTAGTTTGGGGTCCCCACACACACGTACCTCCCGAGGAAGGATGCGACTGTTTTCGCTCCCCTGCCGATAAATAATCCCTTCCCCCATTTACTAAAGAGATCCCTAATTATAAAAACACTTTTCCCCCGATCCACCCGGAAGTAGCACCGCCCTTTAAACGCTAACTTGAATTAGGGGGAAGGTTTAGGGTCTATAGATTGAGGGTTTAGGGGGAAGAATTATAATTGCATGACTCAGCAACTGCTCAATTGAGCCGCATGAAAAGCTTTATTAGCCAAGCCTTTATTGAAGCCTATTTTTTTAATGCGTATTTACGGATTTAGTGTGTATTTGCACGGATTTGTGTATTTGCACGGATTTAGTGTGTATTTGCACGGATTCAGTGTGTATTTGCACGGATTTAGTATGTATTTGCACGGATTCACGGATTTAGATGTATTTGCACGATTCCGTGTGTATTTGCACGGATTTGGTGTGTATTTGCACTCACGTCCTGTGTAGTTGCACGAATTTAGTGTGTATTTGCATGTATTTATACGCATTTAGCGTGTGTTTGCACGGATCGTGAGTATTTGCACGCAGTATTTGGTGTCTAATTACAGGGATTTAGTGTGTGTATTTGCACAGATTCCGTGTGTATTTGCACGCATTTACTGTGTACCTGGTGTGTAGTTAGAGGGATTTAGTGTGTGTCTTTACACGGATTTAGTGTGTGTTTGCCTGGATTCGGCGTGTATTTGCACGGATTTAGTGTGTATTTGCATGGATTTGGTGTGTATTTGCACGCATTTCGTGTGTATTAGCACGAATTTCGTATGTCTTTGCACGGATTTAGTGTGCATTTGCACGGTTTTAGTGTGCATTTGCACGGATTTGGTGTGATTTGCAGCCCTTATAATAGCGTTTCTTAAGTCTCCAGAGAGCCCAGAGCTTCAGGTCACCCCAAAATCTCGATTCCGGGTGGGGAAAGGGCCCAAATGACACCCCCGGGGATTGAGCCCACGACCTTCCCGAGGAGGGCTTTGGAGGCAGACGTTTACCCATTAGGCCATGGCCAGATAGTTCTGGAGGTGGGCGGCTGCCTCACTAGGGAATTTGGGCACGGTCGCAGGCCCAATTCTGGCGGTGTCCCCGTGGGCCCTTTCCCCATCCAGAATCGAAATTTGAAATGACCAAAACCAAACCCGCCGAAAACCCGCGCAAACCCACCAAAACCCACCCATTCCCACTTTCCCATGCCCCTTTGCCCAAACGCCATTGGCGCCGATGCTGCGGATGTTCTACTCCTGCTATTGACAATACCACTACTACTCCTGCTCCTGCTGCCGCTGCGATTGCTGCTAATTACTGCTGCGACTGCTACCACTACTACTACTACTACTACTACTACTACTACTACTACTACTACTACTACTACTACTACTACTACTACTACTACTACTACTACTACTACTACTACTACTACTACTGCTATTTCTCCGACTACTACTACTGCTGCTACTATGAACAACAACATCATCATCATCTTCTTTTCCTGGACCATGATCATCGTCATCATTACCATCACCACCACTACCGCCATCTTCATCATAACAAGCATCACCGTAATCGTCATCATCATTTTCATCGTCATCATTTTCATCACTTAATTACTTGTAGAACCTGTGTTTCTGGCAGTTGAGATAACAACGGGACCCTAATTATAAAAACATTCTCGAGTTTTTATTTAGGGCGAAGGGGGGGGGGGGCCCGACCATATAATATTAAGGGGAAGGGATTAGGAGTCATAGCTTCTGTCACGTGCAGTCGAACATGGACGCGAATCTAGTTACCCGTTCAAGGTTGGGTTTCCCACACACAGGAACCTCAAAAAAGGAACAAAAACCCAAAAGCTTAGGGACAAAAAACCCGCAAACCTAAAACCTAATTACCTGGAGAAGTGCAAGACGGCATCAGCTGCATTACATTACACCGTAAGACTCTGCAATGAAGTAGGTCCTTCTATACATATATTTATATGTAAGCCCGACACCGTAGGAGCTTGCATTGAAGTAGGTCCTTGTATATGTACATATGTAAGCCCGACACCGTAGGAGCTTGCATTGAAGTGAACCCTTGCAAGCCCGACGCCGTGGTGCCCTGCAGCGAAGTAAGTCCCTGCAAGCCCGACACCGTAGGAGTCTGCAGTGATGTAGATGCCTGCAGGTCCAACACCATAGGAGCCTGCAGTGATGTAGATGTTGATCTCCACTCGCTACAGGTGATTTCAGCAGAAATTTCAAGCAAGACTTCAAGACTTCAAAAGAGATTTCAACAGGATTTCAAGATCATCTCTTCCCGTCCTCATATGAGATGCTTGCCGGTCTGTTGCTGGGTTTTGAGCCTGTTGCGGACCTAGCCAAGGATCACCCGTCCCACTCTGGGCACTGTTTCAAGGGATACTGCCTCGAGAGCAGCGGTATGACGGATAAGGCCATGCCCATTTCACACTTGAACACCCAGGCTTCCCTGGTAGACTGTTCTTCAGTGGTCTGCTTCACTCAGCAATGAGTTCAAAACTCAGCTGAGACTTCAAAAGGATAAAATGTTGCCGGAGGTCTTCAATAGGCTCATGATTTCCTTGCTGGTCTTTACTAACGAAAAAAGCCAAGCAGCACATTGAACCTGTTACCTGAACTTGTTCAAAAATGCGCAGGTACGTTTTGACAAGAGGACAGGCAGATGAGTGCGCGGTCTTCGTTGGCCAGTGCACGCACTCATCTTACCTGCCTCTCCGCTGGCCCCCTGCACTCGAGACTTTCTTTGTCTATAACTGGAAACCCGTTGTAGTGCGGGGTCCCCACACACACACACTCCATCTGCAGAAGCTCTACCGGCTGGAAAGCCGCGAGTGGCAATATCAAGCGTTGCATCAGGGCGATTGAACCTGGATTGAACAGTTGGCTTGCCGTGGCAGCTATGCCGGCAAAAAGCAGCGACCTCTGCTCATGTGGTTAACCAGCACGAGGTATTGCAGTATCCGCCGCCAGAAGCACGCCAAATGGCATACCAACGCGGACCATCTGGGAAAACATCCTTAGACTCCTTAGACTTGAAAAACCTTGAAAGAGCCCCCGCAAACAATCCATGCCACGCTTTCACCGGCAGGCCTTCTGGGGCTGCACGTTTGCTGGATATGTCGGAGGCCACACCAACGACCTCCAAATCCAAGGCTGCCAGACGGTGCCATGGTTAGTTCAAGGTGCCACCATGCATTGAGCAAGACGCCATTTTCAACTCCACGCAGCAGTTCTTCTGGCGTGGAGCTGGTGGTTGCAGTCAATTCCTGGCTAAATAAGGCTTTAAGCCTCCAGCCTGTCATGCCATCCTGGTTCAATCTACCAGCGTGGACAGCGACCAAGAGACAGCTTCTGACTGCACAAGACCCCAAGAGTGCAGCAGCTGTTGACAATATGTCATTGAAACCCTCAACCAGGTCGTCCTAGCACTGCGCAAAGCCCTAGTCCCCAGCTGGAACTGCAATGCCGGCCATGTGGTTACGGCCGGTCGCCAACATCAACACCCGCATGCCCTGGAGGCTCGGATGCTTCCAGTACAGCGGCCGGGCAACACCTGAGGCAGAGGGAGACTGGGACTGAGGCTCTGAGTCGCGAGCGGCAAGCGATTCAGGGGACAGTTTGGACAGGCAAATCAGCTTGAAGCTGCAAGCGAGGCATTTGGGCTTGGCCGGGCATTTACATGGAGCTGTCAATACCTACCACTGATTTTTGCAGGGGCAGAAAAGAAGCGACAAGGATGGCTCTGCTTCGTTCGACGTGGTAGAACTGCATGCCCCCCCCCTGCAAGCAATGCAAGACAACTGTAGGCTCTGCCCCAAGCGGCCAATGCGATGTGGCCCCATCATGTAGCACTTCATCATGTCCACCTCGGTGATTAATCGGCCTTCGGTCTGCATGCATTCTGTGGCTTCTGCTTTGATCCGAGATGTTTTGCCTGGTAAGGCTCTACAAGGTCACAAGGTCTTTACGATGCTGATTGCGCAAGATTGAACCTCAAGTCGATGCAGCATGTCATCTGTAGTTCTTGCTGAATCCATGTCAAAAGCCAGCATTCATGCGATCCCGTTGGCAGTCCCACAGCACAGGGCCCAAATGCCTGCTCAAACATCGAGGATCCTTTCGTTGCTCCCTGCCTCCGGAGGCTTGCCATCACCTTTCTTGTTCAGGAAGCGCTCCACGCCGCAGCGGCCATCATTGCTACCGCAGCCCCAGGCCTCACTGCAACGAAGGAAAGTTGTTCGCTGTTCGCAGTTGTAGAGCAATACAGTTTTTTCACTCGAGCAATACAGTTAGAAGCCCCATGCGCTCGTAGAGTTGGATCCATCCATCTGGCAGTTGATATACCTTTCTTCATCTGCCGGGCTGACAGACAAGATTCGGTACGACAGGTAAACATACTTAGCAATCCTGTATGTTCATGCTTCATGCTTTTACTATGGAATCGAACGCAGTCAGGTAGCCCAAGCTTTGCCATCTGCACAAACAACTGCCTGGCCAGGGGTGTCAAAAGGTAACTAACTAATTATGCGGTCGACCTAAAGGACCTTGCAAGCATCAGGCAGGGCAGACAACACCCACTCATGCTTCGTAGCGTGAGCACAAGCATAGCAGCTACATGCCTTTGGACCCCAGTGACGGACCTCCCCGCCGTAGGCTACCAGGACCATGAAGGAATTCTGAAGGCAGCAATTATAGGCCGGGCCACGGCGTGGATGTGGGCCGACACCGCGCTGGTGACAGGCCCAATTGCATCATAGGGCGGCGGCCATCTGAAAAGGTGCTTCTATCAAGCTTCCAACCGGAGGCCCTCCATGTTCAACCGCCCGAATGAGGTAGCAGGTAGCAAGTCTCACAAACACAAACAGACCACAACAATGCCATCGTGGATGCTGCTGCGGCACTGACTCCTCCTATTGAGCGCTTTTGAACTGACATCTGGCCAAGTGACACTGCCAGTGGGGACATTGGTGGGTCCTGCACGTGCGGATATGAATGACGGACCGGAGTGAGAGCAACGCAAGGGCTGGCAGTGGTGCAATAGCTCAACGCGAAACTCAGAGAAAATTGAAACCCTTCTAAGACGGAAGGTGTTTCAGGCACGGCACACACAACGTTCGAGGCAGGAACCCCAGTTGACACAAGGAGCGGCCACGAATGCCAAAATCCATCTGCAAACGAGTTCGACAGGACATGTCCGGAAAGCTCACCTCGATGTGCTTGTGGGTATGTACACGTGTAAAGCAATCCATTCTTCGGAATGCGTTCCCGCACTTGTTCCCACGAGGGCGGACTTTGGCATGCCTGTCGTTGGGCGGTACGCCTAAACATGCCTAAGCTAAGGCATACACCGGTAGCAGGTTGAGTCGACAATGCGATCCAGAAATTGCTCAAACGCAAATCACGATCACTCTGAAGTGCCAACATGCACAGTCGGCACAGCTCGCATCCCTGATCTTGGCTTGGTGCGCTTGGAGACCTTTACCGAGGCCTTGCGTTGCCGACGTAGACTTGTACATGCATCGTTCTGCCCCGACACCGAGTGATCGAGGGCAACAGATACGGCGAATACGGCAGATGACTAAGAAGAGCTCATCTCAGTGCTCCTCGGAGCCATTCCGTAAAGGGCCGCCGACACGGTAGGGTTTCAACTCGTCCCATGGCCTGTCACAGAGCAGCGCATCCAATCGAGCACCCGCTGGCCTTTGAGGTGAGCTGAAAGGAAGTTGCCATTGCCACCCAAATCTGGACATGCCTGGACATTTCCGCCAGTATTCAAAACCGGAGACCGCCCCCATGCACCTGCCAAAAGCGCCGTCCTTACTGCCCAAGTTTGCGAGGAGGCCCTTGTGGCAGGTGCCCATGGTGTAGATAGCACCTGCATTAAGTCATTAAGTTCTAGATCCTAGGTAATTATACGATGGCACACTAAGGTTTAGCGCATACACTGGTAACGGAGCTTCGAACTGCCGATTTGTCGAGGCTTTTGCTGGATCGGGCGAGGGTTCAGCGTGCGCAGCTCCAATATGTCAGAACAGGGGCTCTGCCTGATATTTCATGCAATCCTTGCCTTGACAGCTCTAGCATACATTTTCAGCTTTTTCAGATTTGCACACGCGAGACACTTGATGAGGACGACATCTAGCCTTTAGGGAACTATAGCTGCAGAGAGTGAAAAAGGTAACCTCAAAGAAATGGCAGGGGCCTGAAGTGCCGACCACAACCTCAGCAGCATGGAAGATCCTTGAGGATGCAGTGTCGCTTATCCTGGCGGGCATGCACTCGGTCCTGACTGCAGGCGAGCCACCGTGTGGGGTCCCTCGTGACCGCCCTCTTTGGGGTTCAAGCCATCCTTGCAGCCTGCTTGGCCGCCTCGCAATCTCGCGACAACTTCTTGTTGAAGTCTTGAGAATGTGGCTTTGGAGGAGATGCTGAACATTGCTGAACCTCTCAGTTCACAAGGCTTCATCGAGCCGCTCGCGGTCAAAGATGCGATGCCGACTTTCATGCTGCCCCAGCACTGGAAAGCATGTTCATGCATATGGGCATGCACGTATGCATGTACGTGTGTATGTATGTATGTATTTGTACGTGCGTAAGTATTGCATGTATGCATATGTGCTTAAATGTGTGTATGTATGCAGAAAGACAGACATAGATGACGCAGACAAACAACAAACAAACAGTCAGAGAGCAAGCCGGACAGACAGACAGACAGGCAGCAAGCCAGCCAGCGAGATTGGCAACAGAGACAGAGAGAGAGAGAGAGAGAGAACACAAAGCGGGGCAGATCCTGCTGACAACGGACCAACACAGGGAGCAAAGACCTCAACCCTGGCTCAAGCCCGAGGTCCCAGAATCCAAAACATGAACCAAAGTCTGCCAGGTCTCGAGTGCAGGCCACCTGCCTCGGCCCAAAGCAGCAAGCAGCAACATTCCCGACATTCCCAGATGCTAGCTTGCTCAAGGGGTGTCTTCTCCGAGGGGTTCTGTGCTCGCATCTTGTTTCCCCGACACATGGAACGCATGTAGCCATGGCATGACCTCTTTGCGGAACGACGCTCCGCGGACCCTACTGTTCAAACTGCAAAAGCTAGGGTAGTGCTAAAGGGGAAACCCTGACCCCCAGGCAGCCGACCCTACCTTTCTCCGGCCGCTACCAAGTAAGCTCAAGGGCCCTTTGGCCACAGGGTGAGCCAAAGGGCAGCACACACTCTTTGGGCAAACGCCAACGAAGGCAAAACTCAGTCTTCACACAGGTCTAAAGTTTTTGGTTGCCCAAAGGTGCCCTGAAAGAAGGTGACCAAAGTCACGGAAGGCCGGGGTAGCTTGCCATTAGGCTGTGGCTCCTCACTGTACAAGGCATCAAGCTCGAGGATACGCCACTGCATCTGTCCCTTGCCGACTTCGAAGAGGCCGATCGTAGTCCGGAGAGGCTTCGCAAGCCTTGAGGCTCGGGGCTCCGGGCATCTGAAGCTTTTAGCTCCTTCAGCCACCTGTACCAAGACGCCATCTTCCGAGTGCCAGCCGGGTTGCCGGGCTAGCCTGGTGACGTAGTTCTTCAGGTCGCCGTCTGGCAGAGGCTCTCCAGGCAGGGCCTGGTCCACGCTCTCCGTCGTTGGAGCCGGCTTCTTTTTGCCCTTCTTGGACTTGACGAACTCCGGTTCGTGCTCTATACTCCACGTCCCACGGGACAGCACAGTACGCAGAGCTCCGGAATCCATCTCTTTCGTACCTCCATCGACAAACAAGTTGTCGGTGTGGGTCCATCTCATGGCCGTATTCGGCTCCCTGAGCTGTTGACGAAGCGAAGCCAACGTCAGTACCAAACTCTTTTGGGCGCCAAAGCCAAGGTCGTTGCCACAGCGATCATGCACGTCTTTGGCATCGGTGACTGCCACCAACGGCACGCTGTAGACGGACCGACGGTCCCGCAGGAGGGACGCTCCTCGGACTTCCGCGAGGAACGCGCGACACAGTTCCCCTGAGTCGAGCGCTTCTTCGACTCCCAAGGTTTCCGCCGCGTAAGACGAACGGCAGACCCGGGCGATCTTGTGCGACCGAAAGTCGATGAGGTTGAACACCCCACGGCGGCCCTTCACCAACTCCTCGTCGGCAAGTAGCACGCGTAACAGCCCTGGGAGAACAGCTTGAGGCTCCCCTTGACTGTCCCGTCGGCATTCACGTTTCCCAGCGCTGCATCCGATACAGTCACTAGTCCACCTTTCCACACATCGACCGGGCGGTACGTAAGGGTAAAGTGGGCGTCGTTCTTGAGCTCCCGGGCAAGCTGCGCCGCCTTCAGTAAGGTTCCCACGGTGGGCGGCTGCTCGCTCTGTAAAGAACTCAAGGCGAAGCCGTGGTCGAAGCGCAGTTGGCTGACTAACCACTGCAGGCTGCCTACGACGGTCCTCAGCCGTCGGACCTCGCTGGGACTGAGCGCTCGCTCCAAGTCCTTGCGGTCGGCGCGTGAGACAACGGGCACGTGGAGGTTCTCGTGATACTCAACCATGCTGATTTCCACGTGGCCATTCGGGAGGCGCCGGATTCGGCGTCCACAGTACTGGAAATCCGAGTGCGAGAGCGCACCGAATCCCAGTTCCTTCCCGATCTTTCGGAGGATCTCCAGTGCCGCTTTGCACCCGGCAAAGAGCAGGTCATCCACGTGCACCACCATCAGAGCCAAGAGCTCGCCAGAGGGGGCACGAAGATAAAAGAGAGCACCATCAAGTGCACTCTTGACCCATCCATGCTCCTGAAGAGTGCGACACAGACGCAGATACCATTGCCGTGGCGCATCCGCGAGTCCAAAGACTCCCTTCAGGACGCGGAAGATCACACCGAACCGCACGCCTGGCAGAGAGGGACCCTTCCGCCGGTCTGGTTGCTGCATGTACAAAGTGCGGGATCCCGCCATGTAAGCATCGCCTTTGAGAAAGGCAGCTCTGACGTCCGCCGACACCAGCTCCTAGGACGGGAAGTGTGCCGCCACCGCGCACAAGAGCAGGATCGCGATCCTCGAGGCGGTGGGGGCATCTGTTCTCAGCCGTCCCTCAAGGTGCGCCGTGTCCTTAAACCCCGGCACTACCAGTCTCGCTGAGGGTTTGGCTGGAAGCGGATTCCCCGGGGTTGACAGTGCCGCGTTCTTGTCTGTCAGAACCCACCGAGGCGTGAGCAAGTCGCCGGACTTCCCACTCCGCTTGAGGTCCGCCTGCACACGGCGGCTTTCCTCCACACTCAGTTCCTGCACCGAGCCGTTTTCTGTCCACTTCTGCCACTGCTCGTCAGCTGCCTTTTGAAAAGCGTCCTTGGTCTTGACGTCCAGGCGGCTCCAGGTGATCTCCTTCCCCGCAGAAGCGAGGCAGGCCTCACTCTCCACCGGAAGGGTCATGAGATCCCCGGTGGCTTGTAGCCGCTTCCTCTGGACCTCGCTGGGTGTGGGCCAGCGTCCGTCCCACGTGCCACAGCGTGTTTCCTCATACCCAGTGTGGCGGTCCTCCGCCACTTGTTCCATGAGCCTCACCAAAGGGTGGTCCTTATCCTCCTCAGTCACCAAGACGTCCACCGAGCGTCCATCGGGCATCTGGAGCGGGACAAAGGGGCTCACAGGAGCCGAGGTCGACTCGTCCACAAGAGAGCTCTGGGCTTCCGGGCTCTCTCCCGCGGTTTCCTCTGGTATGGGAACCAGTTCCGACGCACTGGGCGCCGCGCTTTCCACAGCTTCACGTAGGCCCAAGGCCTCGGATGTACCATCCATCGGTTCGCCCACCACAGGCTCCCCGAGGGGTTTGGCTTTCGAAGCGGGTCGCTCCGAACTCTCGCCCGCCGTCACAGACTCGTGGGAGCGCTTTCGGTAGACACTGTGCGACTCCTTTTCCCACGGCGCCAGTGACGACAACGAGGGCCTTCTCGAACCTGGGGGCAGGCTCAAGGAAGGTTGGCTTCCTACACCGGGGCCGGGACCACTACCACCACTGGCGACGGTCCTGCAGGGCAGGGGCCCAGTCAGTGGCCGCCAGCCTTTCCAGGGCTGAGGCCTTCCGCAGGTGCTCAATGGCACGCTCAGCTGGTTCTCGTCGGGCCCTTCCATGGCCACGACCAAGGCTGGCCCATGCCAAGCCTTCAGCTGCAGCTTCTTTCCAGGCTTCGACTTCTGTCGCCGGTAAAAGTACACCACGTCACCCGCATTGTAGTGCTCAGGGTGTGGGGCTCTTGAGCGGGCCAGCAAGGCCTTGCTCATCGCCTGCGAGTAGTGCAGCCGAAGCATAGCCACTCTCGCGGTTTCCCGGATCGCCAGAACCAAGGATCGTTTGTCAGCGCCGTCTGGGCCAGACCCGGGGCTAAGCAGTCTGCGAAGCCCTTGGGCTGTCGTCCAAAGACTGCCTGGGAAGGCGAGTAGCCCGAGTCGTTGATGTCGTCATTGTATGCGCCCGCCGCGGCGGTCACAACCTGAGACACATCACCCTCAGTCACCGGCAGGTACTCCTTCACCAGCCTCTGAAGCACCGCCTTAGTAGAAGCTCCTGCTCGCTCGGCCACGCCGTTTCTCCAAGGCGCCTCGACCGGTATATGGTGTAGAACCGTGTCGTAGAAGTCACAGAGGTCCTGGAAGGACTCAAACACGAACTCCGGTCCCATATCCACCACCAGCGTCTTGGGCGCTCCGAAGATCCGCGTCCACTCTGCAAGAGTGGCACCGGGCACCGACCTCCTGAGCAGTTTTGCTTCGGAGAAGGGTACACGCCTGGTAGCGCGTTGCCACGTCCACCCAGTGGGCCACCCACCGAGTTTGTCCGGCTCCGTCCTTGAAGCTGAACAAGTCACCATGCACCCGGTCTCCAAAGTGCGAAGCCCTTGGAAGGCTCGCGGGCATCCGCGTCTTCGGCCGTGCCTCCTCGGCACAAATCTCGCAACGAAGCTCCAGAGCGGCTCTGATAACCACGGGCGGGCCCCGGAAACAGTCTTCGCTTAGAGATATGGCCCGTGTTCCGGTGAAGCTTTGCCACGGCCTGCACGATCTCCTTCGTCGGCTTAGGCGCGTCCTTGACCAGGGCGTTCATTTCTTCCTGCTCTTCCTGACCTTCCAGCGGTTCCCCTGCTGTGTCCGGTGAGTTTTCGACCGCACGAAAGGGAAACGGTAGGCCTCCAGCAGGCGGTTCCCCTGCAGTATCCGGCGAGTTTTCGAACGCACGACTCTCACCCCCATCTAAATTGTTTTGTTGGTCGACGGCCAGGGTAGAGTGAAAGGAGTCGAAACGTCGCTCGAAAAGTCGCGGGAGGGCACGTCGAAGGTGCCAGAAGGTGGCATAGCGCCCGTCGCGGGCACTATCCAGGACGGCCGGCAGGTTGCTAAGGACAAGAGCTGCTGTACCAACGGCTTCCAGACCCAGGTCTGGCCCGAGCCATGGTTGCACCGCCTTGCGCCAGGTGCGCGCCGGGCCAACCAGACAAAGTACAACCGGCCGGTCCTCCGCTCGCAGACTGGCAGCACCAACCATCCAGTTCTCGAGCGCTTGACGGTCCACCGCGCCGCGTTTGGCACGGAATACGCCGACGTGGCCGTAGGCATCCGGACAGTAAGCACGGGTTCCGTGCCCACGCCGCTCAAAATGAGCAGCGACTTCCGAATCAGCTGCTGCCAGCTCCTCCGACGTGATCATCCTGAAGCTGTCGTCCGATGGCACCGTCTCCTCCTCCATGGATAAAACGGCCAGGCGGGTTGGTGGGACGAAGTCCGAACCCGTCCCCATCGGTCCTGCGGTTCTGGAGGGAGCTTTTGGCCGCAGTACTTCCGATTCCGAGCTTGAGCTGGCCTGTGACGGTGGAGGCGGCAGCGCGATTGCGCGGGCCACCGGCGTCAGCTTTTTGCGGATCGTTTCCACGGTGTCCTTCTCCTCGATGTCCACCCGCAACAGCACCGCCAGCTCGAGCAGCTCGGCTCGCAGGCGCGGCCTCCCCTTGGCCCCAACAGCGCCCGCATGCGCTCCTCGCGCACCTCCTTCACTTCGCTTTGTGCCTTCTTGGCTTCCTCCAGCTGCATTCGCTGCAACCTCGAGCGCACTCCTTTCGGTGCCTTTAGAGCCCTCAGCCCTTCTAGCACGATCTCGTCCTCGAGGAATGCGAACGCCAAACCGCACTTGTTCCTCAGGCTCACCGAGTGGCCGAGGTTCACTCCTGAGAACACGCGGTTCTCCACAGCGCGGGTGTACCAGCGCCGTGGCCACGCTCCTCGTCGCACCATGCCCTCGGACTGTTCTTGCCATTCCTTCGGGCCGGTTACCGACTTCCACGGGAAGGGGGCGAAGCGCAGCTGAGGCATGCGCACCAGCCACAGCAGTAAGCCCTGCCAGTGCCAGGCCAAACGCTCGCGCAAACGCACCACCATTCTTCGCCATTTTCCGACGGACCTGCGACCCAGGTCGCGGAGCATGGCTCACACTAGGAGTCTGCGTCGTCTTGGGGCTCTCGAGCAAAACGGCTGCGGGTTTGGAGGTAGGCTTGCTCACTGAGACGCTCGTCGACGTGAGTGCAGCCCTCGAGTCAACCACCGCTTGCTCTGACACAAACGACTCAGACACCGTAAGCATCAGCTGCCAAGCCGCCTTTGTGCGCAGACGCATCCACGCTCCGAAGCCGAGCTGTAGCTCGACCACACCGTTTCTGCCTAGCGGTTTAAAGGAGCGAAGGCCTCCGACCGCTGGCCAACCTGCCTTCGGGAAAAGAGGGAGACCCAGGTGTCCAGCCCTCAGCTGGGGCAGCCTCAGGGGTCCCAGACCCAAGGTCTTGAACCGGGCCGTGTGGTCCTCGAAGTCCAGTGCCTCCATGCAGTCTCGGCCCACCAGACAACCAAGCTTCGGGTTTGGCACGTCCGAAACCCAGAGCAGCATCACATGTCCTTCCAGACAGCAGGGGATGCGCACCCTCCTGCTGCTCACCAGTGTCTGGTTGTTTCCGAACCTGAACCTCTCAGCTTCGTGGTTTTCCACGACCAAGCTGAGGTACTCCGGAGGCCAAAGCTTGCTTGATCCACTCCGGTCCGGCACAGGTCCGGTTGCACGCCGAGTCCATGGCGCCCAGCAACGTGGCTGGGGAGCCCCTCTTCGGGAGGCTCGACACCTCAAGTGCCTCCGCCAGCGTCATCATCACCTCAAACTCATCCACTTCTACGCTGGTCCCATGGTCCATGAAGTCCACCACGTTGGCTTCAGTCTCCGTGTAGTGGACGTGCTTGGGAGAGCGGCCACCTTTGCTTGGGCTCGGCTTGCCAGGGCTCTGGCTGCCGCTTGGCTGCTGTGGCCTGCCACGGCCTCTGCCGCCACCCCCTTTTGCCTTGGCATTCTCTCGACCAGTGGCCTGCTTGACCACAGTTGTGGCACACTCCTCTGCCGGCGCCCTTCCCGGGCGCGGTTCCACGTCCACCTCCGCCGGCGCTGCCGACGGCTCCGGGGGCTTTGTACCCACGGTCCTTGCGGATGGCGGCAATCTGCCGCCTTGCTTCCCGCAGGGTCACCAAAGCTTCCCCCGCATTCTCCAGATGCGCGGCCGCTTCTTCCGCCACCTCTGGCGGCAGGTCGTCTCCTTCATCCAGTGCTGCGGCCATCGCCTCTAGCTCGGTCTCGAGCTCGTCGGCGGCTGCTTCACCGCCGTCCTCTTCCTCAGCTGCTGTCTCGTACGCTTCAGTCTCTCCTTCAGGCTCGTCTTCATACTCCTCCGTCTCGTCCTCGTAGTGTTCCTCGGTCACAAAGGCCTGGGAAGGGCCCTGACCGGGAGTTCGGGAGCGGTTGAACGAGCGCCTGAAACGCGAAGTGCTAGCTGAAGCCGTCGAGGCAGCTGAAGATGGCACCGTCCTAGGCCTCGAGGGGGCCTGGCGCCAGGAGCGAAGGTGGCTTCCACCGGCCGCCTCAATTTGTGTGAGGTGCACCCTTCGAAAGAGTCGCAGCACCTCTCTTTCCACCACGGCGAACTCCGGTTCCTCGCCGGTGGCGGTCTCCAGCAGCTGCCGCTGCATTTCCGTAAGGGCAAGCCTCTCCTTGAAGAGCCATCCAGACTCGACAGGGGTCACCGGAATGCCTTCGGCAATGCATTCGGCTACCAGTGTTCTCCAGGTCGACGCAAAGTTCGTGACCGGCTCACTGGGACCGCGGCGCAAGCTCACATAGAGCTTCTGCCGGAGCTCTCCTCGCTTTTCGGAAGCTGTCTTCCCACACAGCTCCTCGAAACACCTCACCAGGTGCCACACACCGTGCGTGTAGTCGGCAGCCTGGATCTCCGTCCCCACAACGTCAGCCACCGCCGGTCGGTGGGCCAACGTATCTATATCTTCCTCCTCACCACGCGCCCTTGCGGCGCCGGTCTGCCGAAGAAGAAAACGGGCGGCTAAGTTGTACGACGCCGTGCGTTCCAAGTCCAGGCCTGCCAGCCACAACGTCACGGATTTCTTGAACTTGCGCATCGACCCCGCATTGCCGTCCCATATGGGGATATAAGAGTTGAACGAATCCTGCCGGGACTCGTCCCCCATCTCGGCGAATTGGCTTCACCGAGGGTCCTTGTAGTCGTCGGGCTTCCTCCCGGAAGCAGTCCTTGAAGAGCTGTGCTCGTAGTCGAAGAGACCTCGTTCTCGAAAAGACCTCGTTCACGAAAGGGTGTGGTAGGTAGAAAGTGGGGTGAAGGTGGAGGTCGAAGGTGGAAGTTGGTTGTGGAAGGTTGTTTTCGAAGACTTTCGCCGCTGTTTTGCCCCTTTTTCCCGCCCTTCTGGGCGGTTCCTGCCCCTTCCCGGGGCGGTTTCCGAGCTCACTGGCTCGGCTTTGGCTCGCCCCTGGCCTGCCTGCCCACGCTGCCGAAGGCAAGCGGGAGCTTCCGCTGTCCAACCACCTCTCGGCGCACACGCCCCTCAGCGGTATCACACCACCCGGGTGGCGGTGGGAAGCTGCAGCGCCCGTACGGAAGGTCCACAAAGAACTTCGGCGGGCTGACTGCTCCACCCGGAGGTGGCCTCACAGGCTCGTCGGCCTCGGTGCTTCCGCGAGCACGCTCCTGCTGAGCCTTCTCTCGCGGTTCCTCGGTCTGCCCACGACCGGGATCCGCCTTCTTTGGCGGCTCAGCCCTCTCCGGGGCTACCTCGCCCGGTTCCTGGGGGGCCTTTTGCTTCTCCTCTGGGGCCTCGCTTTCCTTTTCCTTCTCCTTTGGGGCCTTTCCTTCCTTTTTGTCCTCCTCTTTCCTTCTTCGCCGGTCTCTGTCCCGGTCTTTCTCCTCCTCTTTCCTTCTTCGCCGGTCTCTGTCCCGGTCCTTGTCCTTTCTACTCTTCTCCTTCCTTCTTTCCTCTTTGTCCTTTGGGGCTTTTTCCTCTCGCTCCTTCTTCTTTGGGGCCTTTTTCTCTTTCTCTTTCTCTTTCTCCTTCCTCTCTTTCGGGGCTTTCTCCTCCTTCTCTTTCTTTCCTCGGGCCTTTTCCTTTGGGACTTCCTCTACCCGCGGCAGCACCTCCTGCGGCGGGTCCTTCTCCAGAGGCTCCTCCTCGGTCTCCTCTTGCTCCTCGTACGTGTACGAGTCCTCCTGTGCCGATGGGCGTGGCACGGATGGCTGAGACCTCTCCCCTGGCGCCTCCCCTGCCGGGCCCTCCGCCTTGACCTCGACCTCTACCTCCTCCTTTGGATAGGTGCCGACGTCAAGCTCCGGGAACCCTCTGCTCGCAGAGGAAACCTCTGCCTGCGGCTCTTCCGCCTCCGCAGGCTCCACAGGCTGGGCCAGCTCGCGCGGGTCCTGCGGCTTGGCCTTAACAGCAGGCTCCTTCTTCAGAGGATACGGCCTCTGCGGTGGCCTCCCCTTCGGAACCGACCTTGGCAAGGCACGCCCTTTTTCGTCGGCCTCTACCTTCGGCTTCCTCACCGGCGTCCGGGGCCTCGCGCTGCCACTCGCTCTCTCTGGAGACGAGGGCGGAGTCTCCCCGGGCTTGTGCCACCAAGACCTCCTCTGGCCTCTTGTCCGCGGCGAGCGGGATCGACTGATCTCACGCTCTTCCTCCGGACTTGGCCGCAGGTCCTCTCGCCTCTCCGCCGGAGTGCGGGGCGAGGGCGGGGAACGGCTGTCCCCTCTCCGCCGGCTGTCTCCCCGGCGGTTTCGCTGCCTTTTCCTAGGCCGGCCCTCTCTTTCTTTTCCTTTGCTCTTTCCTTTGCCTTTGTCCCTTTCGCCCTTCTTTCCTTTGTTCTTTCCTTTTGCCTTTCCTTTCCCACCAGGCTGTACCTTTGCCGCTGCGGTCTGTTTCGCGGCCTGGTAGTCGATCTGCCTCTGCTTGTCTCTTTCCCTCTGCTTGGCAGTCTTCGGTTTGCCCCGTCGCCGGCCACCCGCCTCGGGTTCCTCCGCAGGCGGCGTGGTTCCTGGCGGTGTCCGGCAAGCCCCTCGCCGGTTGCACCACGAAGTGGAAGTTGAAGTGGAAGGGAAGTGAAAAGGGAGGTTGAAGTGGGAGTGGAAGGTGGTTAGGTGGTAGAAGAAGAAGACGAAGTAGTCCAGGCACCCGCCCAGTCACACAGCGCTCGCTGTGGAGGGGGTGTCGCCCTCAGCAACCCAAGGGATCACTCCACCGGCAGTTCCGGGAGGATCCAGGCAATGGGCTTGCCAAGGCAGGTCCGTGTCCACGTAGAAGATGTTGTCCAGCGCCGCCTTCCACCGGGATTCCGGGAGGCTCTCAAGCGCGGATATGGAAGGCGCGGAAGGCTATGGCTCAGGGAGGGAGGATCGGCGCCTCTACCTACAACCCAAGCCCACAACCCAAAAGTACCGTACCGTGAACTCTGCTCCGCTACCACTGCAAAAGCTAGGGTAGTGCTAAAGGGGAAACCCTGACCCCCAGGCAGCCGACCCTACCTTTCTCCGGCCGCTACCAAGTAAGCTCAAGGGCCCTTCGGCCACAGGGTGAGCCAAAGGGCAGCACACACTCTTTGGGCAAACGCCAACGAAGGCAAAACTCAGTCTTCACACAAACCCAAGCCCATTGCGTGCCTTGCAGGTTCAGGTAGAACCACGGCTGCCGGTGCCGAGCGCGGCGCTCGGTCGCCGAGGCCCAGGTTGCCGTGGCCCCCGTAGCCTGCAGACGACTTCTGCTCATCTCGATTGCTGGATCCATGACAGAAGCACCACTAAAGACAAGGGTGATACATTGAAGCTTGGGCGGGAGACCACTGCCTCTCAACTCTTGATGGGGGACATTACTGCAGTCAGAGTGTCGTTTTCACATTGATCTGAAGCTCATCTTGCCGGCCAAGTAGCCCCACATCACGAGTTCGCCGTTGCTGCCCACTGCCCCCGCATAGAGAGAGCCGAGGCTCACCTCTGTGCGATTGCCATGGGATTGTGCAGTTATCTAGATTCTAGATCCAGCAAGCAGGCCATGCTCCCAGAGGCATAACGACATGAAACTTGATCTCGGCTCTGATACCTACCGGCAGCAGGGATCCTCTAGGCGGCGAGTTGCCAGAACCAAGCTCACGCCCTCGGCTGCCACTGCTGTAGGAGTGTGAACCGACCTTTGGGGCATGGGGAGACGCTAAGCTTTGGGTGCTTCTGAGTGTTCGGCCGCGGAGGCTCTGAGGTCTTTGGACTGGCTCTCTGCTCTCTCCTCAACCCGCACCGTTCCTCAACAGGTCTGTGTCAATCCACCGTGTACACGAAAATTTCCTTCTCAACCGGCTTTCAAGAACATGACAACCGGTTGAAGGTTCACGCCTGTGTTGTTGTCGGGCATGACAGTAATTAGCAAACTGTGGTAAAGGCACGATTGAAACTGGAAGGAAATATAGTTACGGTAGCGTCCAACAGAAAAACATGAAGAACTGCAGAGGATCATCCAGCATGTGGCTATGCTCGCCTCTCGTGGCTACTGTACGCGGGCCCTTCTCGGCGCAAGTCCCTGCGAGGCCCTGGCACATCCGTCGTTCCATGTCCAAGCCTCCAAGTCGACATACGTTCTGCTACTTTCGGAGCTTGGAGGAAAGGCCTGTCGAACCGATCTAACCCTATCAAAAAGACGTCAACATCATGTCATTTCGAGATGTCGCTGACAAGGCCATAGCAGCCATAGCACCTGGAAAACCATCGAAACACAGTCGCAATGACGACCGGATGCGGTGGTCCTCGTTTCAAATTAAGCCACCATCTCATCGTCATGATTCCAACTTATTGACTTATTATCCCCAGCACATGATATCCAGGTAACTGAGTGCAGGGGGATGTTGCGATGCGGCAGCACCGATGAGTTGCTCGGGTGCATACCGCAACTGCAAGAATTCGCACCTGACCCTGACAGGGCTCGGGGTCTCGGGGTGCTTCAACCAGCTTCATCCCGCAGGCACCTGCCGTGGCCGTTGCTGCCCCAGGTGAAGAGTCGTCCGTCCTCGAGTAGAGCGGCCGAATACCTGACAGTCAGAAGACATCTATTCAACAAGGGCTTGGGGTGCGGTGACACTATGCACTGGCTGCTGACTTGCTTCTTGCGGCATTCGTGCTCAGACTCGTGGATCTCGCAAGGCCCAAACTCTAGCTTTTCAGGCTTTTTGGGGCTAACGCATGTTGAGAAGAGTTGCTGGTCCTCGCAATCAATTTGCACGGCAGCAGCTGGCAGCGCGACTTCCTTCGGTTTGGCATCGGCCTCGACGGCGTGCTTGTGAGGCTGATCAAAAGAAAGGTGCGAGTGTAAACACGTGATTTGACCCCGCATGACAAAGTGGGGTCCCTTGCATATGCTGGCCCTCTGGCATAGCACAAGCACTTCCGACTCGAACTGCAGCGCATCACATCACATGGTGTTGATGCGACTGTGGGTTCTGGTCTACTGCGTGGAAGCAAACACCCATTCATGCACACACACACACACACACACACACAGACGCACGCACACAACAAACGCAAAGAGAGACATGCACAGGCAAGGCTTCGGACTCCTCGCCCCTTTGTGGCCTTGTCCGCGTGCCCTCGACCCAGCCTTGCACCGCAGTCTTCTCAGTTGCAGATTCGGGCGATCGAGAGTTTGTGCATGCCGGCCAGTGCTGTCAAGGCCGATGGCTCCAGGAATGCTCCAATCAATGCAAGGCTATGCCAGGAAGTCCGATGGCTTGATTCACCACACAGCATCGACTTCATCGCAAATTCACAAGGGAGTGGGGCGGGGGGGACCCTCTTGCCCTCCTTGGCCTGCTTGCCCGCATGCCGATTTTCACGTTCATCTTTTCACCCCCTGCCCCGCACTGTGCCGGCCATTCTTCCCCCAGCACTCTCCTAGTCGTAGTCCTGCCACATTCCTCGCCCCTGCTCCCATTTTTTCCTTTAGGTTTTCGGGTTTATAGCTTATGGGTTTAGGATCTGGAAGAGACAGAACCTTGCTAGGAGCATCCCGCCATGGTCCCTGCTATATTATTAGTCATTGGCTCATGTTCAGCGTCTGATGAGCGGACTCGACTGCACCTCTTCCCTCTAGTCCAAATTGTGGAGCCCTTAACTGCGAAAGCCTCAAACTGGTCCTAGCCCTGCTTCCAATATACAAACTTGTTGCCACAAGTCCACCACGCAGCCGAAACCAGATCCAATCCCACTTCAGACTTCAGCTTTCTAATGGGCTGCTAGACTTCTTGGGCCTTACGGGCGAAAAGCACCGGCTTGGGACTTTGACTTCGCAGGATGGCTGCCGATGGGTATAGTTAGTTAGGAGGGGCAGGAGGCAAGAGTAGTGCAGAATCAAGAGGGGACCGCCGGAAATAGCGAGCCCCCCTCTCCGGACGCATTGACGGGTTTTGATTCTTTCGAATTTGATGAATCGCACTCCCGCCGCTCTTGCCGGGAAATCGTGCTCTTGCCACAGTCCCGGACCCATCAGAAGGCCTTCAGGTGTTGCCTCGAAACCTCGCCTGTCCGGATCGTGCTCGCAGTGTCGGAGACATGTTGGGTACTGTGAGTGTTTCCGCCTCCAAAGACCGTACCCCCACCAAACCTGAGCCTAATCTGAGGCGCGACTCGAGTTCCCGAGCCTATATGCAAAAGAGCTGATGGGTGGCTCTGGCAGGTGCCTTCCCCTACCCGGGATCTTTATTGGTCTACGCTTTGATCGCACGCCTGGCACCCTCTTGAATAACTGTGGAGTGTGACTCCTTGACCGCTGAATCTCTCGGCATGCACCGATGTAATGCTGGAATCTCGAGTCTGTCTGTGAAAGAGTGACTGTCCGAATCGTAACCCCTCGCACTCCAAGCAGCTGTCCATACCGATTGCTGCCCCATAGAAACACTCTCCCACCGCCTCAGCTGCTACCGGGTCAGAGCGGGTGGATCTCAAGCTTGCCCAAAGTCCCAACATGTCACCGGAACTTTGAACAATAAGATGTCTGAAGCGGGCTGGAACCCCGAATGTTGTCTACTCTGCAACTTTTGGTTGTGAAACGATTCATGATTCATCTCTGGCTTGGGTATCCCACCAGAAACTATGCCAGCACTCGGTGAAAGTGACAGCTTCCCTTCCCCCAGTGTTGCGAATGGTTGCGATTAAACTTATAGCCATGTTGGCGTTCAAGGTGATTAGGCCCGGTATGGCCGGGTCAGCCTAGGTCTACGAGGCCACGTATTCTTGATGTACTCGCGTGATCAAGCCCACGCAGTGCCGCAGCCTTTCAGCAGCCCTTGAACTCTAAAACTCGGAGAAGGCTCCCACCAGAGCAGAGCCATGGTCGCTTCCGAAAGCCTCTGCTTGGAAGTTCGAAGTGCAGCTTCGGATTTCAGGTTTCGGGGTTCGAGTGCATGAGCTTGAGCGTTTTCTCAGGAAGTTCAAAACAAGTTCATGCCGAGCGCTTCGGAACTACAGCGTTGCTGGGCCACTTGCCTGCACTGTCTTTTGTCAGGACGACTCCCCACTCCGACTGAAAGGCCCCATTGCAATAAGCTGCAACTGTTCTTGAGTAAAGCCAGTGCGGTGTAGAGAAGAACCGGGAAGCCATGTCTACCCATGTCTACAGCAGCCATCCGGTCTGAAGTCCAACTCTGGTGGGATCTACCTGGAACTGCCCACAGGTGCCCTCGGTACTGAGGTCCTGTAGCATGAATGCCACGGAAGGCACCCCGACGATCGCGCGAGCGTCCACGGAAAGCTTGCGGCCGAGGGGCCGCCATGAGTACCCGCTCCTTTGCCAAAGCTTCTACTCCTCAGCACAATTTGAAGAACTGATCAAAAGACGAGTTTTCACGATCCGGTGCAATGAGCTGATGATGCCGTCGCCGTAGGCATCGGCAGTGGGGAGCACGGAACATCTCCATGACACCCCGACAAGACAGACAGTTCCTGCTTCGGTGAATCGGAGACAGACATGTATTCATCCTTTTGCAGGTGGGCTGGCTTGCTGGCTGGACGGACGCGGGGCATGCTACATGTATTTGTGTTGTCGCACGCGCGCGGACAGACCTTCTCTAGATGAGTCTGTCCATGGTTTAATTATTAACCAAGAACCAACTCAGAATAAAGATTTGGAGAAGCAGACATACAATCACAACTTACATATTGTGCATGTGCCCATGCTTCCAGATGTCAACGTTTGGCGATCCGCCCATGCTGGAAGACATGGACTGTTGAAATGGCGAGTCTGCATCGAAGTGTGGAAGAAGTGCCTGGGATGGCAGTGCTGCCGTGTCGCACCAGACACAAGGAGTGATGTACAGTAGGAGAGTCTTCCCCATCCCCGGCCCGCCGGCAAAGACATGTTCCTTGCCTTGACCCGGAAGTGACTCTTGCCCAGGAATGGGCAGGACACAGACAAAACAGATACAGTATCCGATATCAACTTTGCCTGTCTAGAGGCTTCTTGGCTCAGTGACATTCGGCCCATCCCCATGGCCCAACCGACCTGGGAGAGAGGATAGTAGCAGGCAGTGAAATCCAGTCTTTGGCCTTGAGCCATTGAACCCATTGAATCCATTGAATCCATTGAACTGCAGCAGGGGGCCCTTGAAGTTGTTGCCGAAAGTGTAGAGAGCTCCATCTGCTGTGACCGCTCCAGTGCAACCTGAACAGCAGCACGGAGAACCGGGCCCCTTCCTGATGATCTGATGATGCATGTTCGGGCTTGCGCAGGCCATGGCTCGCCTTGTTGACCGCCGCCGCAGGAAACGTGAACAACCTGCCACATCGTGCTCTGCATGGTGGACTTGACATCCCCCCGCGTTGCAGGGTGCAAAGCTGGAACTGGTTGACTGCACTGGGGGTTGGCTTCCGATGTTGTTTCCCAAAATCCTGGAAGACAAGGCCACCGACATACACGGAAGTGACATCATTGTCATCAGAAGACTGAGGCTAAGACCTGCGCACCCTTCCCCACACTATCTGTCACAGGAAACCGGAAGGAAAAGCCCGACGAGCCTGGTTCAGGCGTGGGATGGGGTAGGGCAGGGCACAGTTGACAGAGGGGAATCGCATCTTCTCTTGCCCGAGCTGACCATCGCTTCCACGTCCCCAAGTGTAGAGCTGACCTGGCTCCGCCGCGTAGAAACACCTCAAATAACGAGCCCCGTTTCGGATGCGAGACTAAGGAAGCAGCCTGGGCATTGACGCATGTAGGTTTTACGTTATACGAGAGCACCTACTTCGTCCCCAGTGGCTCCGACGCTCCAAGCACTGTGCTTGCCCCCCGACTGCCTATTGTATGCCCCTTCATGGACCGCTGAGAACCACATCAGCTGTCACAGCATGACTGGTCAGGTTTCCCGTTTAAACCCACTACGGAAAGCGTGGTGCAGCCTCGACACGACGCTGTAGAAAAAGGTGCAGCTGGCAGATCGGCAGCATCCTCGATCTCTGCGCCTACCTCAGTTGGTGGCGCCGGCGCGGGTTCCGTGGAGCTGGGCTCTGCCGGCGCCTCTGCCGCAGTCTCGGCCGAAGCTTCTGCTTGCTCTGGCTCTGCGGACGGGGCAGCTGACGGCTGCTCTGGCGAAGCTGGCTCGTGCAATGCCTCTGCTTCTGCCACTTCTGTGGCTTCGGCTTTGGCATCACCGTCCTTTGCTGTGGACGGCTCGGGTGGAGAAGGCGCCGCCGTCTCGGCGAGGACCTTCTCCGCATGCTCAGCACCCGAGAAGACCCATTCCAGAAACTCATCGACGTCCACCTGGCCGTCCTTGTTCTTATCTACAATTTGAACCACTGTCTCCACATCCTCGGGCGACATCTGATCGCACAGCGTTGCGAGGCTTTCTTTGAACTCGGCGCCGGTGACCAGACCGTCATCGTTCAGATCCCACTCCGAAAAGATCCATTTCACCTGCTCCTTCACAGGAGTCTCCACCTTGGCAGCAGAGTCGACGGCGGCGGCCGGGGCCAAAACAGCTCCCGTGTGACGCTTGTACGTATCCTCGATGATTTTGCGAAGCATCGCTTGCCTCAGCCAGGTGAGATTCAGTCGTCTGTCTCCTCAAACTCATGTGCGAGGCTCCGATCACTTACGGACTGTTCCGGTCACCAGTTAAACTAGCTTGGACTAATTAGGACCGTGACTAGGATACGCTCCGAGATTCAAAGGCTTTAGTTAGCTACCCCGTTGTGAGCACCTCGCTTGTGGCGCGGCTTTGCTTCGTCATGGCCCTCTCTGCAAATGAGTGAAGTCAAGGCAGTGCTCGTAGCGTGGTCCCCAGTAGTACCCCCATGCATTACAGTGCAATGTGTCATACTGCTCAAGCCATCAACGGCAAGCATAATGTGCCACTTGCCTGGCCCGCAGCGAGGCTGGACATGGAGGACAGCCTGTAACACAGCTTTCTTTTGGTGCGGTCCCGAGGTACTCCACCATAGACTTATTGAGGTCGTGCTTATCCTCGACGTCTACGCCGCACACCATAGATGTGTCCTGCTCTCCAGGCGATGCTGTACGTTTAAAAATTTAAAAAGAGCTGAAGACCGAAGATGCAGACTACTCCGCTGTCGATCGCAGCGAGTTACGAGCTTGAGACGGCCGGGCAGAGCGCCCGAGCTGTCCAGCGCCGATCGCAAGGCTCGCTTCTGCGCAGCCGCATCCTTGTGAGTGAATCGAAGGGCCGCCAAATCCCCCGTACACTTGAAGCACGAGCAACAAACTTCTGAGCCCTGCGGGCTGCTAGCCAAAGTCTAGAGCTGAAGTGTATAAGGGCAGGCCGGCAGGCCGGGTTGTCAGAGCAGCACTCCCTTCCCATGCAAGTGCGACAACGATCCCTCGAAGCGGCAGCCTTGTACACTCATGCTTCTTTCCGGGTTCCAGACCGGATCAGCGCTTGGCACAACCAGTGTGACTGCTCGCCCGGTCCTCGCACGGCCCGGAGCTTGAACTCAGGTTTCTTCGCCCTGTGGGCTTTCCCAACTTCGTTGACCGCTTCATTCAGGCTTCATCGGATAATTCGCGCGGAACTCGTGCCGGCAGGCCCGACTACTGCCTAGGCCACTCGCTGCAGCCGTCGGAATGCGGATGCATCAGATGCGAGGCTGCGTCCAACATGATAGATCACATGTCTTGACTGCCTGCCAGGCAAGCACGAGATGCCGTCACGAATCCCAACCTCTCCCAACACCGCTAGGTCCGCTAGATTTGGGGCACACAAACGTTTCGCTTTGCGATCACCAAGACTGAACCCTGACTTTGACAGCAAAGTTCGCCCTGGCCCTCCCCCGTCATGTCAGAGACCGGCGCACAGCCGTTCCCGCCGGCCAAGAGCACCAAAGGCCCAAGGAAGGTCCCAGTCGTCGCCAGGGTGACAGCCTGAACTTAGGCGGACAAGCAAGTGCCAGGCTGCACAGGCTGAGGTTCTGGTGTTGATAAGCTGTCAACGTTTACAGGACTTGCCGTCACATACCGTGCGAAGGTTAGCCACACAATCCATAAAACGAACGAGGCAGCAGACCACACAGCGAGTCGAGTGGAACTCGTGCTCTGGTCTCATATCATGCTGGTGTACTGCTCAATATGACTATGGCTGCCTGCCTAGCCGCCCTAGCCTAAACACCAAAACTTGGATGCAAGTGGAGCTTCTCAAGCACGGATTGAGCAGTGGGCGCACAGCTGAGCTGTGGAAAGGCTCGATGATTAGTCAGTACCGTGAGGAGCTTGGGCCCAGCCCTGAATCACGGGGCAATGACTCGCAAAGGCAGGCTTCTTCCGGCTCTGCTTTGAAATTATCTCTATCTGCGCTAAGCTGCTGACACTTCAAAAGATGCACAGTAAGCATGTCGGTAAGGGTCAACCATGATCAAGACCGGGCATACCACTTTCCCAAACTTCCTGACAAGACCCATGGCAAAGTGCATCAACAAGCAGCCTTCCCCACGCCGGCCGAATGAGCGACAACAATATCCTTGGATTTTGTCTTCTGCGAGTCTCCTTTGCTCTGTCTGCTGCGCAATCTGGGCTCGCGATGGCATGTGTTGGGGGAAGCTTTCTGGAGTTGGCAGTTGCTGCTGCCGATCGAAGCTGTTTGTATGTATGTATGTCAAAGGTATGGTATGTGCGTCTACGTGCGTGCGTAAGATTATGTAAGATGCCTGTATGTAGGTCTGTACGTCTGTATGTATGTATGTATGTATATCCTATGAAAACTCTGCTGTGGACGGGGATCCGCGATACTTTCAACTGCGTCAAGCTCGGGAGTGCTGGAAACTGAACCCAAGCAATACCACCCCTTAGGCCCTTACTGGCAAGGGGCCGGCTTGAAGCTGTTGCATTCTTTGGCCAGCGCTTCTTTCCTTCGACACAAAACCGACTACGAACGACAGACGGATCCAAAAACGCGGGACACAGAATGACGTGTGTGAAACTCCGGGTCTGAGCCATAACCACGATATGATGTTCTGCAGATGTGCAATGGAGCCACGATAGTTGTATATGCAGATGAAGCAGTCAGGCTCAGAGACCTAGGGCGGCCCTGCACTGGTGGCCAACTGATGTTTGAAGACCCGTCTGAGTATCAAAGACGGACCAGGCCGACAAAGCTTGCTGATTCATACGAAGAAGGATGGGGTGCCACGGCGTGAGTTGATACTGCGTGCGCTCCCTGCCGATAAGCTTCGTCGCAGAGTAGCTGGCATGCTTGACAGACGGGATGGTCACATGCCGGAAATGTTGTCGCATGTAGGACGGCTTCGCACCTCTGGACAGTTTGTGGGCTGACATCTCGGGCAGGGAACGACGTGTAGCACTGGGCACGGAGGCACCGTGCCTTCTGCTAAGCACAGCCCAGCAGGTAATGTAGTCTCCCTGCATCTCCCTGCCTGAAGACCCTTGTGGAGTCTTTAGATCACAGATGCCGCCGTACTGTCGAACCTCCACGACTTCCAAATAATACAGTTGCCGAGCAGCCAGTGACATTGCTGCCCAACCTTGGCTGTAAAGTCTGTCCGGCCTCGATAGATGCTGAGCAAGGCCGTGTGCACCGAATCTGACGCAGCAGGCGACATCAAGTTTCTTGGTATCACGCCGGAGCTATCTATCTGCCGTGCTGCACTCCAGTTCGATATGGAATCTTTGAGACATACTCACGCAAGCACACGCCACAAAGGCATGCTTTTGCTCGCAATTGAAGAAAATTGCATAACACTGGCCGGAACAGATGGGACGGACAGGCTGTTCAACTCCAACTCTCTGACAAGGGCTGTGCAAGTCCAAGAACTCTTCTTCAGCCCAGCACGCGCTTGTAGAAGCAAGTGCCCCTTCCCCATACTCTTGTGATCAATCCATGCCGGCTACCCAAGCTCCCTAAGACAACTCCTGTCGCAGATCACTACATGAACTCCCCAACTGCTGATGTGGTGCCCGCAGATGTAAAGCACACCTCAGCAGCAAATATGGAATGTCATTTGCCAGCTCGTCTGACCAGGTCGGCACCACAAAAATCCCAACACATGCATGGCCGGGCCACGAATGTCGGACTTGCCGTCAGCCATCAGCTGCAGATGCAGTCGCGACGGCGCATGTGAGCGGAGCGTATTGCTAGCTGCAAACAGTAGTCAAGCTGAGTGCACGCTTCCTCAACTCGCTGGTCGAGCTGATACAGGAAACTTCATTGTCATGTCCGGAGCTATCGATGTGTGGAGGCTTGCTTCCGCATCTCTTATCCTGGCAGCGGCTTTGCGTTCTCCCTGTCCAAGCACCCAGGTGGGAGCATGTGGCCGCTACAAGTAAGTAGCCCGTCCACGCAAAAGAAGGTTGGCTTTGACAGGCTTGACGGCTTAGCTGGAAGCCAAAACAGCTCGCAGGCCTGCTGCCATGTTTGGCCAGCCGGCTGCTGAACGAGGTGGCGCCAGAGCACTTGTACATGAAGTGTTCTGTCTCATGGCGAAGGTCTGCTCGACTCTAACACTACCAGACAGACTTGTGCAAGAAACAGTGAGACCGCTGGGTCCTCACGGTTTGCACAACGACATGGCACTGAGCTATGACTTGCCCTCGGCTATGCAGACCTCGTCCCCGAGACACTGCCCCACCTCTCCAAGCTCTTCAGCTTCTTCGTGGCTGCTTCCAACAACTTCGAGGTCGACCTGGGAAACGTCATCCCGTGTAGATACTCGCACGACCACAATTGCGAACATGAACCTCGGATGACCTCTGTGTTCTTGTTGTTGGCTGGTTTCAGATATCGCAGTAAACCACATATCCTCAGGAGGCATCCAACTACTACGGGCCACTCTGAGGCCACGTCTGTGTGTCGAACTTGAAGCCTCCCAGGCCAAAGCTCCACGTGAGATCCGCAGATCCCCACCTAGAGCTGCCAACTCTCGGTTCTTCGGTTTGCCAGTCCAACTTGTGTCAATTTGTGGCATGCCACGGGAATGATACTGAGACTTTGATGGGTTCATAAAGCATGGACAGAATGGAATCTCCTCCATGCAGATTCCATTGAGGCCTAAATTCCAAAGAGAGTCTGCATTCCACACGCAACATCGAAAAACGCCGCGAAGCCGTCTGCTGGATGTTACGCACTTCGTCACTGAAAATGACGGTTGCGATTGCGCGGTGTTGCTGTTCTTGCTGGTGTCATTCCTCTTGTTGTTGCTGTCTCCGCTGTACACTGCTGATGCTATTGCACTATTAGTTTTTGCGTGTGTGTGTGTGTGTACCCGGACATTATGCAGATGGAGAAATGGGTTCAGCTATCAATACTATGTCATTATGTGCCTCTTGATTCTTTGTAGTGCAAGCAACCAGTCTGTGGTATAAGAGTTAATGTCTGCGATACCTCTTGCGTCTTGCATGCTGCAATCAAGGCGGAAGCAGACAGCTTGTGCAGTGGGGCTCCGCGCTTGCAGAGCTTGCAGAATGTCTTACCGTTCCCCCTGCCTAAAGGGCAAACAGGTGACTCGAGTGCACTCAGAAGTAGCCTAAGCATGCCTCAAACCCTCACAGGCACTAGCCGCTAGAGGCTTGAGAGTTTCCCACGTCTGGTGAGGAGCAAGTTTGAGCCCGCAAAGTTCACAAATCAAGCACACCAAAACCCCGACATCAGTCACCAAAACCCCGGGTTCAAGCACCACGCCTTGTTCAGTCACCAGAAACCCCTGGCTCAGCCACGACGTCAGCACCACCGAATACACGCAGCAATGCTGATCCGCATCATCCCCCAACACAGCTCTGAAAACAGCATATTCTATTCTACCTGTCCCGAACCTATCACTCACTTTTTCCACCCCAGATATCCCACCCTTCCCCACCCCAAGCGACCCTCCTACCTTGCAAAGCACTTGTCATGACCCTCCCATGAGCCGCACCCTCCCCTACCCGACCCTGCCGACGGTCTTCCCTGCTCCACGTTGCCACGCCTCCCCCAGTCTGAAACTTGCCCCCCACAAGCGCCCCACCCTGCCCTACCCTCTCTCAACCACTTGTCCCCATCCTACCCTACCCGATCCTTCCCAACCCAATCCAATTAAAACCTAAAAATGCCCACCTGCCCGACCCCCTGACCTGCCCAACCCCCCCTGCCCTACCCCACCCTACCACCCTGCCACCCAACCCTGCCCTACTCCCCCACCTTACCTCCCTATTCCATGAGCCCCCTACCCACCCTCCTACCCTCCAAAGCACTTCCTGTCCTCTCTTTGGTGCAAGGTGCTGTGTTGGTGCTTGTTACCGGTGGTGGTCGTGCTTGAAGCATGGTGCATGAAGCTCGGTTGCTTGAAGCGCGGTCGGTTGCAGAAGCAGGGAAGTACGTTCCAACAATGGGGGGATGCAGAAGGCTGCACTCGCAGCTTGTCAAACCACTGCGACTTGGTGGCTGGCTTGCATCCTAAAGTTTTGGGCGGAGCAAACTCAGCTTTCGTAGTCCAGCACTCGACAGCCTCGAGTAGTCTCTCCTGGACTTTCCAAGTTCTACGCGCCTGTTAACTTTTGACTTTGCCACAAGATTTTACGGCTTTTTGTCGCCATATGAATCACTTGCCTGCATTCTTTGTGGCACCTCCGATGGCACTCATACGGGAGAACGGAACTTCATTAACGCACCCGAGAAAGCCCATCGGGGCTCACACCGGGGGAGCAGGGAGCAAACCTGCGGTCACACGTGGCAGCTCAAGTCGTTCTGATCCTCCTTGGTATCTCTATTGGTATCTCTGCTGGTATTCAATGAGAAGCTGACACTGGATCAATTTAAGCCAATCTCAACGCAATCGCCTCTAAGAGTTGTTAAGTTCCGGCGCTGCTTTTCCAAGACATACAGACATACACCAAAAAAAACCCTCAACAACCTGTAACCCGCCAGGAGGGCATCCCATGGCCCAAGCCTGTGGGTTCAGCTCAATCGTGCGAAGAACCTGGAGCGGCTTCGCTTTGCATGCGACTGTCTCTGACCTAGCGAGATGTCCAGCGACATGTATCTACGCGCCCAGGAGATCTTCCACATCTAGCCAGGCACGGGCCAAAGTTACAACATTTCGTTGCTGCGTATTGTCCTCGACCTTTTGCAAGTCTGTGCGCAGCTTCACGTTGTAGTGACGAAAAGACAACGTCTGTCAATGTCCCTCCCACGCACTAACCTGCCCAGCCAGGCTTAGTCTCGGAAGAATGCTGTGGCAAAATCTTCACTTCCAAATACATTCTGAATAGAGCCTCGAGGTCTCAAGCTGGATGTCATGGCTTTTCGTTTGGACCTGGGTTTCTTGTTGGATGCTGCACACGCATGTTTGCGGCTCCGAATCCGCTTCGAATGCCCACCAAAACGAGAGGAGTGTCGAACGAGCCAGGTGTCGGATCTGCAAACCCATCTCTCCTCACTCCACGTGCTGCAAGCTAGCTTCCCAAGCTGAGGTCTTGAAGTCGCAGTTCCAAGCCCTCCACCCTCACACCAACTCACCTGCGCCGCACCGAAGCTCCGAACGAACCGAGCCCACCACAGAGACGCCAGCGCTCTTGGAACCATCTCTGCAGCAAAGGCGGAGCCTTTGCAGGACTTCGGAAAAAAGTACCTTTGGCTCTCCTGCGCCCTGTTGGGCCTGGCTGCGTCGCTCTGACTAAACATTTGTGGATTCCTTAGTATCGGTACGGAGTGCTCGGGGCCCGTTCGCGACTTTAGGCATCTTTAAGCGGATTCATTGCTGGCTCATCTTCCCACAGCCAAGGGAACTCTATCTGCAGTGAACGGCCAGGAGTGAGGCAAGATTGAGGCCACCGTGAGGAAATCGTCTCCCGGCACCACCTTCCGAAAGCTTCAACTGCACCAACCAAAGCGGGATCTACTGATACTGTTGTATGGTAGCATACCTTTCCGATCGCAGGGTGATATGCCAGTGACGGGAAAAAGCGCCGTGCATGCCGGCCTCTCCTGCAGAACCTCCCCACAGCAAGCTGCGAAAAGATAGCTTCGCACATGCAAAGAAAAGAAGACGTAAACTTCCGACCGTGGCATCTCGATGGCAACATCGGAACGAGGGAGGCCTCATAAAATCCGGAGACCATGAAGGTGGACACGGAGTCCACTTCTCTGCACGGCAAGGGCCATGTGGCCAACTATTCGAAAGCACCACTGAGAGATAAGGACAAAGTAGTGGCACGAGAACGCCTTACCACGGAAGAGATGGGTTCACAGTTTCCTGCCGAGACGTGCCTGCAGTGACATAGTGGAGGTGAACAGCTCGTACAACAGCGGAAAAGGAGCGCTCGCTGAAGGGCCTCGTAATCCGTGTCTGTGGATCTTCATGGTCTTTTGAATATTGTACACTTTCACATGCATAACACACACTAGGAAACTATTCACTATAGTGTGTATGTGTGCACACACACACACATGTACAGATAAGATGCTTTACGTCTAGTTATGTATGTATGTGTACATTTTTGTGTAGGTATATGGAAAGATCTATGTATATATCATATACATACGGCTGTCAATGTGTCGGTGGGTCTGTGTCTGTCTAAATACAGACACACGCACACAAACATACATGTCCCTAAAATATCCTAAATTACTGTTATGATTTGCATCTATTGTTGAGGGGAGGGAGGGAGTGAGGGAGGGAGTGAGGGAGGGAGAGAGAGAGAGAGAGAGAGAGAGAGAGAGAGAGAGAGAGAGAGAGAGAGAGAGAGAGAGAGAGAGAGAGAGAGAGAGAGAGAAAGAGAGAGAGAGAGAGAGAGAGAGAAAGAGAGAAAGAGAGAGAGAGAGAGAGAGAAAGCGAGAGAGAGAGGGAGAGAGAGAAAGCGGGAGAGAGAGAAAGCGAGAGAGAGAGAGAGAGAGAGAAAGCGAGAGAGAGAGAGAGAGAGAGAGAAAGCGAGAGAGAGAGAGAGAGAGAGAGAGAGAGAGAAAGAGAGAGAGAGAGAGAGAGAGAGAGCGATCCTTGGAGGCCATCGGCTCAGTTTTCCGACCCTGACGAACATTGCCGGGGTAGGTCAGGGGACATGAGTGGCGCTTTGGCAGAGGACACACGCACGCGCGTGTTGACGACGGTGACGGGCGCAATGTTGCTCCAACGGATACCAGAAGACTTTCACTCGTTTTGCATCAGGTCCTCTATCTTAAAGTTTCTCACTGATCTTGCATTCACAGGCTGGAAATTTGGTTACGCTTGGTAATCCGCAAGCAGCTCCGTCGTAGCTTCCGTCTGCAAATTTGTGTCGTGGGCTTGGACGCGTTAGGGGCTGAGCAGGGGTCTGAGCCAAGACCCCGAGTCTGGCTGTGTTTTGTTGCCTCTGGCCCAAGCGAGAGCACATCCTAAGCACGCGGCCAAACAGGGAGAACAGGTTGTCGATGAAAGCAATGGCCTCAGCTCTGTTGTGACTGGTATGCTGCACAGCATGTGTGTGCGCACACATCGAAGGGGATCTGTGCAGAAATCACACTCTCTAAGTTCGGACAAAAACACGCATTGACTCGCAAACAGTGCAGTAAGACTTTGCACATGTGATACCTGCCTCTGCCCCTGTCTGGTGTGAAACCTCCGGCCGGTTGTAGGTCACGTCGCCTGAGCTGGGCTCAGGACACAGGCATGCGTCCGATACGTCTGTACAGTCCGGGGTGTCCGGTTACGTGCGGGCATTTGAGGTTTCAAACCCGAGACCGATGGGATTTCGACATGTCCCCCGAGTGCCGCTAGGCTTATGGAAGGCGAGAAGCCTAGGGCCTCGGAGGCACAGGCACTCTAACAACAGAGCCTCTGACAGTACAATTTGCAGATGCAGTCTGGCTTGTGTACATCACGGAAACTCGCCCTGAGACCGTGGATAAACCGAACAAGCCATCTCGAAAGTGTTTCATGCTTGACAGCGGAACAGATCGCCCAGCTCATAAGACTTCAACATATTGCGGCGCAGGAAGCAAACAAGTAGCAAGGCTTGAACGCAGGGACATCACAAAAGACGTGTGGTCAGCTCTCAAGATGAATCAGCAATGCCATGCAGCTTCCGAGGGATTGACGCAGAGTGGAAGAGATCCGCTCAAAAATTCCGACCTCTTCCGTAAAGGTCTTGTCGACCACCTGTGACCATGTGGAGAGTGAAGCTTGCGTACACAACGAAAACTTGGTCAAATGGGAATGCTACGAACTCCGTCGACGCAAAGTCTAAAAACTGCAAGCCTAGCGGCCCCGCTCTAGCCTGCTCCGTAGAAATCTTGCAGTTTGCATATCTTACTGTGGAGTCGTAAAACATCACCATCCTCATGCGCTTAATTTCTCAGCTCGCAGTCCTCCTCATGAGTTTAGCTCGTACTCATCCTCAAACCCTGATGACATGTCCAAGCCATCCACAGTAACTAAGTCCCATCAGTACTTATCTGCAGCAGAGTGACCAAGCAACTGCTGTCCACCCTTGTCACAAAAACCCCTCGATGCAACAAGTTCATCACGTGAACCGCACGTGAATCGTTGCCCTGTTGGGTGGCCGACCCGGTCGAAGCCATCGTCTGTGGCGACCGAACCCAGGCTCAGGGGCAGCTCCAACCTGCCCAGGTGTATAAGTTGCACAGGCTGCAGGCAGTAGCCCTGGGAAATCCAGTGCTCCGTGTGACGTGGTGCCCAAACACAGGAGTGCATTTTCCGGCTGTTCTACAGAAAGATGACAAGCTGGTGTGGAACCAATCCTTACAGTATACCCGACGACTCAAGCAGCCATCGGAAACATGCGGTCTCGAACTTAGCCCCTGGTGTGCTACAGTAGCCACTTAAAACCCTGCCTGCTTTGTCCACCGGCCACCAGAGCCTGCGGGTCTCTGCACTTCGGAGCATCAGCCCACTGGGCTACAGAGGGCGGAGAACTGGCAACTTGTATCTTCGCACGTGAAGGTATTGCATGACTACGTGGTGCGTCACCGGATTCGTGAGATTCACGAGGTGAGCTTGGAAGATGTCGAGGCTACACATGAAACAAGCGGATTCGAGCTGAGACAGGATGATGCGACAATCGGCCTCCAACGCTGCCCTGCGCCCAGCAAGCTCGCCCACTGCACAGTGAGCACCCTGCGCTGGACTCTTCGGAGATCACAAACCCTCGCCTCTGCGTGCATCTGTGTCGAAACTCTCCAATGACAGAAGTGGCTCCCGGACGTGCCGCAAGCATCCGGGGGTGTACACGCAGCCTGGCTTTGGGAACCACGCTCTGCCAAGAGGTCCAACTCCTGTGGGCGAATGCTGACCAAAACAGAACCGTAATTTGCTACGGAGTTGCTACAGCAACCGCAAAGCTGCTGCGAGCTGCTGCCCGGCCAAAAGCATCTTTATTGACATATGCAGATGTGTCGTCTGCATGTCAGGACTTGTATCGATGAGGCTGAGAACTGCAAGGCACTCTCCTCTCGAGGAGAGAGGCGACAACTTGCCGAAACCAAGCGTCTCTTCCGCACCTGGACTCGCGAAGCTGAACGGCCCTTCATATTGCCTCTTCAGGGTCACAAGCTGGAGCATGCTTGCCGAGGGCTCGGGGCGTTCACTTTGTCTTACGACTGATTTGGCAGGCCATGCCATTTCCTGTTTAATTACGGTTTGCACTCAAGTCACTCCATCGAACTGCCGGCTGCGGGTCCAAAGAGTTCTCTTGAACCTCAACTGACGTCCGACCTAATCTCGAGCTGCGAACTCGAGCTTAGGTTTCGGTGTTCACCGCCCAGATCCCCGAGTCCACAGCCGAGACTCCTAAGAAAACGAAGAAGCGGGTTCAACTTCCATCTCAGCCGAGGCGAGGTCTGGGATCGAGAGCGAGCTGAAACCAAACTCAGCAACTTGACTCCCTGTCAAACGGTGCAGAACTGAAGCGACGGCGTACTCGAGCAGGGCATGGCCCACGTCCCAACCTGCTTGGGCAGATTGGCGATTTGGCCTTTGCGGTTTAGTTGACGACACCTCTGGTTGCTTTGAACGGGCAGTCTGCACGGTACTACAGTTCAGTGGGTAGGACTGTGGAGGCTTAATACGATCGCCCGCGAAACCGAAAGGGCCGCCCGACATGGTCTAATGAGTCTAATGAACTGGCTCTCTACGGCAGCGTAACAGCTGATAGTCAAGACGATGTGGGACTAGATGCGAATCAGAACTGTTGACATGAGGGCCCGGCGAGTGCCCTGTGATGCAGCAGAAGGTGCAGTGCCTCGCAAGCACTGGCGCCACAGTTCGTGGTCAAGACTTGAAACTTAGGCAGACAGCTACTCATAACCCACATGACGGCTCATGCTCTCATGGGCTCGAGGCTCGGCTACGAATGCGAAAAATGCCTGTGGCTCGAGGAGGCCCAATGCACAAATGAAGAACAAACGATATCGGTCTCAGGACTTGTGACACCCACTGGCATGTTGGCATGTTGAATGTGCTTGTCTCAGCCATTTCAGTCAAGGTGCCATAAGGCGCCGTGGCCAGAGCCAGGCGCAAGCAGCTGGCAGCACCATCGGCGTGAAAGGAAGCCTTTCGGATGAGTGCTCTGCTGTCGCAAACTGACTGAAAACTGCCTTGTTTTTTATTAAGATGGCTCCATGTACAGTCTAGGTTCCCGCGTATGCTCAGGCCGCTACGGATGCAACGAGGCACAGGCGTTCCCAAAGCTGCCACTCCTCCCCGATGGGCGGCAGAACCGGTGCGACAAGACAAAGACGACATCAACAGCTCCTCGCTGCTGCAAATCTCGGAGACGGTACAGGCTGCTTCGGATACCTGGAGAAGAACGACAAGAAATGTTATCACTCATTACAGTACGGAGTTAATATGCGCTGCGCCGCCGTCCCTCCAGCCTGTCTATGTATATTGACAGACGCACGCATATCTACATACACATATATATATATATATATATGTATTTCTTTATTTATAGAATTTACAGCTTACACATTACACACCTTCTCAAGGCTAGCATGACTGAAGCCCTACACCAGAACTATACTGAAGTTGTTCGATGACAATGAACTTATGCAGCAACGGAAAACAAACTACACTACTTGAGATCTGGGCTACGAAGGCTAGATCAGGGTCGGAACAGCCAGGGAGCGGCGCGAGCTGGTCATTTTCGAGGGAGCAATGCAAGCATAGACATGAAGACTCTCGTACTATGGCAAGCTCTACGGCAGCAGAAAGGCTGTCGGCAACAACACAGAGGAAAACTACACGACGGTATGAACATTGAGGTCAAGACAAGAACGAACGACTTGCCAAATGAAGCGAGGAAGCCGATGGAGCACATTGAACGAAACGGCTGTTCCGACTGAGTTTTGACTAGTTTTGATTCAATGGTGACTGCATTCAAGGGTAGTCTGCTCTGCTTGGCTGACCTCAAGTAAGTTCCAGGTCCCGCAAGCATTCCAACGATGCAAAGACCAAACCACTGTTTTGGCTCCTGGAGAACGCCATGTGCCCCACTCTGCTGACTCGGCAACGCGCTTCGATGCCTGGCCTCTGCGAAGTGCCAAGTGAAGAAGCGGCAGAGCCTGAGCAAGGCCGTGCATGCCTTCTTCCTTGCAGATGTTAGTCAACCAGACAGACAGACAGACAGACAAATACCGGTCGCCGAGCACACGTCCACGGCAATGTTTTCTCTGGCAAAGGTTTGGATGCACTGGCTAAGAATGACTGAAGCCCAAGCCCGCGGCAAAAGGTACAAACCGGCCGCTTGTGTCGGAGCAAAGGCGAAGGTGCCAGATAGGTGCACCGGATACGAGTAGTGACCTCACAACGCAGCTTTACGAATACCAAGCCATGCACCCATTCTCCGAACCTCGCAGTTGTCAAGTTCCCGGTCGATGCAACTCCGAAACGTGTGGAAGGCTACATCAACAACAGGACCTCCAACAGAAGGTGAACACAAATTATTGGGGACGCGGCGCTTGCGCTACTGGGTGCTACGTGAACACAGGCCACACCACGATGCAGATTTCCAAGGAAGGCTTGTAGCCGAACGACCGCCATGAAACGTGTGGGCAAAAACTCGTTCAATGGCGCGCAGTCCCTTACACTTGCGCGCCCCGTGATATCAGTGGAGCCATACCACAATCACGGAAAGGTGAGTGAACTGTAACTGAAAACATCCGTGTGTGCCAGCTGGGAGAAGCACGAGAGCCCTCTGCCAGGTTTGCGACCCAGGCCTTGGGAATCGAAGCAGCAGCACTACTGTACGTACGGCATGACTTCATAACACGCAGCTATTCCAGCCGCCAACCCTGCAACAGACCTTTACTTTCTCAATCAGAACTTCGTGCCTATGGTATCTCTTCCCCCATCTCTTGGTGTACAGTGGGCAGACCGCTTGGGCGGTTCGCACAATTTGAAGTCCATGTGTCTCGCACGCGGCTGTTGAACGGAAGTGACCGATGCCATGCCGGACTGCCCATCAATTTGCTTGAACTCCAGAGGCCCGTCTCTGCGCAGACGTTGGCCACCCGTCTAACTTCAGCAAAACAGATTTGTCGCATGAAGCACGTCCAAGCTTGGCTGACAATGTGCCTCTCAGATGGTGCCCAAAAGCCCTCCAAGACTAGACAAATGATGGCCTTGAAAGGTTTACCGTACACCACTTGCAAGGCAAGCCTATGGGAGAGTCATCTTTGAGCGGGGGTACCTGCTCCCCACGCCGCAAGACTGGCGCGGTAGGGAGGAAGCCGTCGGTTGCCGGGCCCGCCTCAAGGCATGCAGCTGTCGGGGAAAGTCCGAGGAAGACTACTGTAGCCCCAAAACATGGAAGCCGAACGTCGATGCTGCCGAGCACGCAGTCTCTGCTCTGAAGTGCTTTTGGAACATTGCAAACTCCTCTGAGACTCGAGCCGCCGGACGGATGGGCTCGGCCAGGGCCTCAAGCATGGCCGCTTCATTGAGGTGTCAAAGTGCTTCCTTGACTTCGACAATTCAAGTCCTTTCATATGGCGACAAAAGGATAAGCAAGAGTGTCAGTGTGTGTGCGTGCGGGTGCGCGGGTGCAGAATGCTCAGCTCTGAAGGCCTGCAGGCATGACCTCTGTGGGGTCTGCGGGTCATGCAGGGAAGACTTGCAAAGCATGTACACCCTCAAAGGTATCGGAGCGAAGCACCACAGGCTTGTAAAGTCCCACTTCGCCCTCAACACAAAACAGCTGCATCTGAGGCCCGAACAGATACCAAGATTCGCTTCTCGTGGCTGCGATTTTCAAGAAGGACCTTGTCAAGCTGCTTGCAACAAGTCGGCATGCAGGAATGAGTGGGCAAACCATGTCCCCGGCTCGCACGAAGCCAAGTTGGTTTTCAAGCTGCTTTTCCAAGCAAACAAGGTTGTCCAGACAATTGCACGAGGTCGTCTTCAGCCGCATCTTGTACATGCTAGCGCTAGCTACTTCTGGGATGCCATCACATGTCGTGGCCGTGCCGACGCGCTGGTGATCATGGCTCCACGATCCCAGGTCCAGGAAGTCCCAGCCCTCTTGATTGCAATATATGGCAACTGCATTGTCGGTCTCCGTGTCGGGCTTTCTCATGAGCGAGGCTCCGGTCTCATCGACTATCGCATTGGAGCTATCCGGAGGACCTTCTTGGCATTTTGGGGCATGCAGTACCTCGGAAGAGGCTGCGCAGATGCAAGATTGATTGAGATGGTCGATTGATTCATACCGACCTGCGTTGTTGCTGTGGCCTTTCGTGGCCGAGGGGAATGGGAGAGCCAAGGTGCATGTCCCCGTTCGCCTCGACTCCACCTTCCCACTTGTCCTGAAGGTTGGGGTTCTCCTTGCGTTGGACAAGTCGTCAACTGCTATCTGCATGCTGGCACAAAAGAGTCCGGAACTCAATACGGATGTTCTCAATTTGCAGAAGCAACTGTGAAGGAGATGAAATCTTGGTGCTCTGCGTCAACTCTCAAGAACTGCACACACGGCTGTGATAACAGTGCCTCTAAAGCCTTGGGGAAAGCCCATGGGATGATGCTGGCGCTACAGGAAAGGGATTATTGAAATTATGGCGTCCGAGCGGCCATATCAATTGGAATGGTAGTGACATCATCTGTTGCGCAAACGACTTGGAGCACTCCCGGGGCATTGCACGGAATGGCATACCTTTCGCTGCAAGATGCTGAAGCACGGGTTCTGAGTTGGAAGCTGCTTTTCATGCTACACTGTTCCAGCGATCGAGACCCGCTCAGGAGTGCATGGAAACATGCAGCTCCGACCCAAACCTACCGAAGACGATATTCCTAGTGTGTACAGTTGCGGCATGTGACTGCCGTCGGCGCAGAAGAGTTTTTCGATGCCTTCAGGGATGCTGTGTAGCTCGAACGTCGATTCCTCCCAGCTTTGACTATGCAGGCATGAACGGGGTGGTATAGTGTTGCCATGTTGCACAGACAGCGGACTGTTGCCCCAAGATGTCGGCAGCTTAAGACCACGGCTTCTCTTGCTTGCCTTCTAGGGCATACAGAACTGCCCCGAATGTATTGATTGGGCTTTTTGCAGCATCGCCACAAAAGCGTTTCAACAGTGACGATGCAGCGATGTGCACCGCCAAAGTTCTCTCTCTATTCATGTGCAAGGTGCACGTTGCCATCTCGTCCCATGAACCCATTTTGCCACTTGTTGTGGCCCTCCTCGGATGGTAGACAAGAGCAAACGAGCAGACCGAGGCCTCTATGCCAAGCAACGAAGCGAGGGCCGATGAGTCGAACTTCTTCCGTCTCCGGTATGATTTTCAGCACGAAGTCGGCCTCAGCTTCTGAGAGACTCTGGTCCTGACGGCCTTTTGCAAAGCAGGATAGGGGGACCGGGCACTAGGGGTACCAGTAGCTAAGCTGAGGCGATCGTGTGCCGCTCGTTCACCAAGACATGCTGCCGTTGCACCAAAAGGCCGGAACTTTCAGCTTGATGAGAGCATGCTTTTGCTAAGCCAAGCCACGTCACTAGGAAAGCAGTACACGGCGCCACTTGGCGCCACGATGCCGCCACCATACTTGTACTTGCCATTCGGACGCCAGAGGCCTCGCTGTTCGGCTGTGACCCACAAAAGCATATGCGGTCCTGGAATTGTTTACCATCGGTTGGTGGGCAGAGCTAGACCTGAAGACTTGCTCGACCTTGCTTCCTTAGTCTGGGGTGTAATGTTTTTGTCGACCTGTTGTTGCCTGCTTCTTGTGTGTGTTGGTCGGGGGCCGGTGGCCTGCTGTTTTGGGGAAGTGTCCTCCATGTATGCTCAGGATGTTTTGGGGTCCTCCCCTAGGAGTGGTGGAGAGCAGGAAAGTGGAAGGGGGTGGGTGGAGGTGGCAGGCTTCTTCAGGCATCGTTGATGCAATCGATGTAAACATTACAACAGTGACAAGGATGAGGGGGCTTGGAGGCGGAATCGTCGTGACACTCGTTCTTTCCGAAGTTCGAGTGTGAAGAAATGTATCTGAAATGGAAAGCAGTCACTGAGTGACACTGCTTGCAAAGGCAATCCTTCTGAAAGTGACTCTCGTCGGGCAACCACCGCGACCCATCTGACTGTCGTCAGTTAGCCTTTATAAGGTGTTCAAGGAGCTCATGTGATTCTTGTTCGAGTGTCGTTGGGGTTCTGTGTTTTTCTAGATGCGTTTAGGACCCGTGGCTCAAGGTCTCGAGGAGGGTTTGGATTTGCCGAGTTCGCTGAGGGCTTCGGAAAAGGCTATCATCTCGCTCGGTTGCAGCTTCAAGGTTCCTGCATGTTCCTGCGTTGGTCTTCAGATTTCTTCAGGGTTTCGCGTCCGGTTTCAGGTTTCTTTGGGGCACGGATGTCTACTTCAGTCCAAAAGCATGTCACGCTAAACCCAACCGTCACGGCCGAATGTGTGGATGTCGGTGTTTGAACAGAAATTTATGTTGAGTTGTGCTGCACCCTCAAAAACAATTTTCAATCTTAGCATGGCCACAGGGTTCAGGGTTTGGGGTTTGGCAAACCCGGTAGACCGTATGCCTGATTGTGCCCTTAGCTTTGGATTTCGACTCTCAGAGCTGGGACACGCCAGGGGGAGGTGCCTGGGTTATTACGAGTAACGTTCATTAACAATAGTCCGATAGTCAGTCTGATGCATTCGACGCAGCATTTCAGATCTAGGAGTTAGGCTTTTTGCTTGGGTTTGTAAGCAGGTCTCCGTTAATTGCGGACGAACTTTCAAATTGATATGAAAATGTTGAACACCACTTACAGAGACATGTCATGCAGGTCCTTTCCCGAGTGCACCACTGCAATGGAGCCATACACACACTGAGGGCGTATCTACGTGCCCTCCCCGCATTGCCGTCCCCACAAAAAAGTAGAACAAAATGCAAGGAAACAGCACAAACATCGTCCCTTAAGTGTTTGGCTCCCACTTGTCAGCCTCCGATGGACTCCGCTCTGCAGGCTACACGTTGACAACGATCATTCTGCCCCCCTACCCTCTCCCTCCAAACGCATCTCAATCCTTGCAGCAAACTACACATACTCCTACACCTAACAGCAATCTGAATTCAATGCGATACCAGAACCGATGCAAGGGGATGGAGAGACACAGAGGGTGCAGACTTTCTACCCAGGAACCCTTAAGTAGTCTTGGATGTCGTGCCAAGGAGCCACTGTCAATCGGCTGACCAATGGTGCTGACCTTCTGCGACATGGGATCGATCTTCAGAACAGCCTGAACAGCACAGCCAGCCACATGCCTTTCTCGATTTGAGAGTTCCTATCTGGGGTCTTCGCCCGGCCCCATGTGCCCTCTCTCTTTCTTTCGCCAGGGCTAGGGTGTAGGGGATTGACCCTAGCCCTGGCGAAAGAAAGAGAGAGGGCACATGGGGCCGGGCGAAGACCCCACTCTCTCTCTCTCTCTCTCTTTCTCTCTCTCCCCCTTGTTATCCCTCGGGGCAATATCAAAAGGGGCGGTCAAGCCAGTGGCTCACCAGGGATCCTGCTTCATCAGGGTAGGAGCCGCGCGTGTTAGAGAACCCCGGGCCACCAGGGCCCCCCCATTTTTTTGCCTCCTGCATGGCTCATCAGACGAAGCAGGGTAATAGTTATATACTCCTGTGAATTCTCATCGATGCCCACATTGTTAGGGACTGATGAAGAGAGCCACTTTCTCAGTGGGCATGCACAGACATCCACTTCCAATTCAGGAAGGAGAAAGATAAGTTTTCCAGAAACACGTGGACCCTTCAGCAAAATGCCGGACTCCATCAAGGGGGCAAAATGCCCACTCACTGTGCACATGTCACTCGCACTACACTCCCTTTGCACTCAGCGTCCCAGGGTGGATTAATTCCAAATTAGGGGTGTCTTTGAGCTTTAATTACCACGTTCACAAGCAACTTTTGCGGCAGCATGCAAGACATGGAATAGAAAAGGGACCTGAGTCCGTCTTCTATGCCATCAGGGTGACTTACTACAGTCACTTCATATCATATGTAATGCTTCCTCCAATTTTGCTCAAGTCAGACAATTAGCCAGCGTACAGGTGGATAGCCAAAGCATGCTGCTTAGCCAGGTCAGAGGTCGTGTTCCACTCCCCACATTTGTTTGACCAGAATTGCCAAAGTTGCCGTTGGCCAACACACGCTCACCACTTTCTAGGTCTCTGCAGTTTGACCACCGGAAATCCAAGGGCATCCATCCAGTCGTCAATTTCACAGATAGAGAGGGAGCCACTGCTCATATCCAATACCAGAGATGTCATGACAGAGTGTGCGTGCCAGGATAAACTCTCAAGCAGTCTCCATCCAATCGTCAAGTTCACAGATAGAGAGGGAGCCACTGCTCATATCCAATACCAGAGATGTCATGACAGAGTGTGCATGCCAGGATAAACTCTCAAGCAACATCCATAATAATGTTGCCAGCGAGTAACACGCGTTCCTCTCACCATGTCTTACCGCGCACTTAGAGACCACAGACCCCTCCACAGTCTGGGATAGAAAAGGAGCCTTAGCCCATCTTCTATACCAGAGATGGTAGGGATGGGGTGTCAGAAATCAAGCGCATGCCACCAGAAAGAGGCATCATTCTGCCGGTATTTGATGTCACCAAGACTTTGTCAGAGGAAAAGAGTTTTCCAGCAGAGCCTAAGAGAACGCACCTAAGTGCGTGGACATTCGGCCATCCAGTGTACGCGGGCGCGGGTTCAGGGTTACTCCGGACTACACAACACATGGCAATCATTTACACAACCTAATTAGAAGGATATACGAAACATAACAACACTGGTGTACCTGGAACATCCTGGTGTACGGTGTAGGCACTTAGACTCAGGAGGCAAACAAGTCGGACGAGGGTAAGGCAACCCTGTACATTAATGCCTAAGGTTGTAAGGCAACCCTGTACATCAATGCCTAACCTGGTGGGCCCAAGTCTTTTCTTAAGTCTTTTTTTTAAAGCGCTGGATTTTGAGAAAAGCAAATTTGCATAATAAAAGCGCCAGGTCTTTTCTTGGAGTTCCTGACTGGGGTTCATGAGTTTCAATTCAGGAGGCTTTTAGAGTTATAGGATTGGTAAAGAAGCCAATTTACGACAGCTTATATTCCGATCAGGTAGGGGTGATAGTTTAGGATTTCGGAAAGCAATAATTAACCTTGACAGCATGAACAACTTGACAGATTCATGGCGCTTGCAGACGTCAAGGTTTGGATATAACAAGGCTGCGATTGCAGGGTGAAGCAAAGTATATAGCAACCACACGTCCGACATGTCAAAAACAGCCACATGCATCGCAAATGGCTTGTGCACGACAGCATTTCTTTCTCTAGAGGCACTGGCCTCGACCGATTGATTCATTGATTCGTCATCGACGGACGGAAAGCATCCTCAAACAACCGACCGTCAATTTGCAACCCGACACACGTGGAATTCAGGCAAGCAGCCGACCAAAGGCAAACACACGACGAAGCCAGCAAGCGAGTCCAGTTTACACACCCAAACAACGACTGTTTGAAGGCAAGCGAGCGACCGGTCAACGGATGCATGCAAGGACCAACTGCAAGCGACAACCGAGTGTCAGGCCCAGCCCAGAAGAAAGGAGCATGCAGGCGGCTACCCGGCTCAAGCTGAAGCCCCGAAGTTACATAGTGCAGCCACCAGCATTCCCACGGGTTCTGTGAGGTGGGGAATACACGGGATGATTCAATCCTTCCAGAGGTGTTTAAAAGAGGTTAGCATCCCATGACCCCCTTTTCATGTTTTTGAGGTGCTGTTTTCCGGTCCCCTTTTGTGGCCCCCATTTTCACTGCGACGACCACGAACCCCCCCGAAGAAAAGACTTGCCAAAACCTTGCCAAAACTTGAAGCACACGCAAATTAAATCGTTTAGAGCACGAATCAACCTCACAAACTTTGATAGTTTCAACTCCACTCCTTCGGCCCCAGAAACACACACCGCAATCCAATTGAATTCTGACTGTACCCGGGAGGTGAAGGGAAACATCACCTCACATTCTGAATTTCATTTTGCAACTACACCCGGCCCGGCACACCTTGGTTTGAACCGAACTAAACTCCCATCAAATGCGCCTGCAACCCGTAAACCCGCGACTGATCCTAAACCCAGATCCATACACATCCCTTCGCGCGAGGCCCCGATTTTCCTCCTTCTCGGTGCTGGTCCCACCTCACTCCCGATCCGGCGACTCAACCCCGGACGCACAATCTCTGAACCCTAAACAAGACCGACAACTCATGCATCATATGGGTCACAGTAGACCTTGACCCTGAAACGCCAACCCGGCTTTTCATAGGCCTGGCAGACGGAGACGGGCTTGTAAATAAACCCAAAACAAAACCCATAAACTCCACCCCGACATTAAAACATCGTCCAAACACCAAGCTGCACAAAAGCCGCTCTTAACCCTCGCCACACCAAGCCCAATCGGCCCAATCATTGAGCCCGTCCCCAAACCTTCAACCGTATGACCGTATGAAACCGTCCACCCGTTTTCTGCTTTGAAGCTCTGCCTCCTGAGCCCCCACCCATGCCCATCCATTGTGCCAATCGCCTTCTCCTTGCATGACGGCCGCCTAAGCACCATGTCCTAAACGAAGTGCCGTGTGCCCCACTGCCCCTCCCGGATCCTTCAGACCCAACTCTGGGGTTTGCGCTTTCCACGTTGGCTTTTTATGCCTTGGATTTTTTCTGTTTCTTTTCGGGTTAAGTTTTGTTGATCCTCACAAGGTCGGAGTTTGATGTTTGAATTCATGTGGTTGGCATTCGGTTATCTGAAAGTCCAGTTCTTCGGGGTAGGAGTGAGTAAAGAAATATTTAGCCCCTCCTGCTCACTGCCGAGGCCTCCTCCGCCCCTCCAAACTTTCCATTTTATCGGCGTCAGTTTCTGGTTCTGACAAGGTCGAGCGTCTAAAGGGGGGTGAGGGTCTGCATGGAGTGGTCATCCATTTGGTGTTCGGTTCCCAAATGGCCTGTGGAACTACGAGTAAGGGTTCTGGGCCGTCTTCGGCAGTCTAGCATTAGGATGTTTTAAGCCTAAGGGTTCGTGATGCCAACGACACCACGTTTGCTTTCCTCGCCCGTTTGATGGGTCTTGTGCCTTGTTCCCGCCCTTCCCTAAATATGATTTGTAAGCTTTGTTTAATTGCTTTTTTGCCTTGCCTTCGTTTCAGCTTCCATTGCGTCGGCCGAGGGTTTTGCATCAGGTTGTGGGTTGTGTTTTGGTGTTTCGGCATCGGGGTTGCGCTTACATGGTCCTGGGGGGTGCTTGTGGTTAGGCCCGAGTTGTTTAGTCGAGCTTTGGGCATCAGGGTTTGTGGATTGATGAGGGGAGGAGACTCGGGCCGAGGGAAAATTTTGCTTTGTTGTGTGACTGCCTTTTCGGTATGCCCCAAGGTTTACTTTTTCTGCTTGGGAGATAAACAGGTTGCCAAGTTGGGGTTGTTTAATAGTTTGATGGGTTACATATAATTCAGGATTTAGGGTTAAACGTAAGTTTCAGGGGTCACGTTTAAAACACCGAGGATCAATGTCTAGTGTTCTGGCTTTTTTCAGGATTGAGGGTGTCGGAGTTGGGTGGGGTGTGACACCGTTGTGGAGTTGTGGGTTTCAGGAGTGTCTCGGAGTGAGTGCTTCGGGTGTCGTAAGGATTCGTGATTAGGCTTCATTGGGGTTTATAGTTTATAGGATGTACTTTCGAGAGACGGGTTCTAAGGTTAACCCGCTTTCTAAGATAATTAGCGGGCGGTAGCGGGTTGGTAACGCGGGTAGCGGCTGGGTGCTAAGGCAAACAGGACTAGGACGTTGATTTCAGGTAACGGGGGTATAACGGGGGGTAACGGGGGGTAACGGGCGGGTAACGGGTACGTCGAGAGCTAAAACGACTAGGTCTTTTATTTGAGGTAACGGGCGGTAACGGGTTGGTAACGGGTCGTTGCTTGCTTATATCCAGCATCAAACCGAGAAACACCCGTTACCGATTTGCAAAACGTTGACACCCCACCACCTGCCAATACCCAAGCTGCACGCCCACGCCTGACCAGCCCCCCAAGCCCCGTGACAAAATGGCGCTTTTGAGCCCCGAGGCTCCGCAACAAAAGAGCGCTTTTGAGCCCCGAGGCTCCGTAACAAAATGGCGCTTTTGAGCCCCGAGGCTCCGTAACAAAATCGCGCTTTTGAGCCCCAAGGCTCCGTAACAAAATGGTGCTTTTGAG